AAATATATGACTGAATGGCTAATATGAAAACTGATAAAAACATATCCCTTGGTGGATGGGACTCAGAGCATGCCCTTATATATGATCAAATAGGATGGGTAGAAATAATCAGGGAGAGATGAACCCATAAGTAACTCAGTCCCAAGTCACAAAGAGCTTTAACAATGACTGCCAACACTGAATTACACTTTGAAATATACTGGTGGCCAATGCAGCCTGTGGAACTATGATGTCATATATGCTGAAAAACAGGTATTGCTAACTGATTGTGCCACCACATTGTGCCACCACTTAAACTTCCAGATGGCCTTCCAGATGCTTGTAAAACATGTTGCAGTAGTCCAATCTAAAGATTCCTAGGGTATAAGTGACTGTATGACCCCCTTCCTGGGGTACAGACAACAGCTGGATGACTTTGGGCCAGTGACTTTCTCTTAGTCCTAATTACTTGCAAGCCACTTCTGAGAATACTGACAACAAAAGTATAAAACAAATAATACAAAAAGAATTTTCCAATTGTATGAACATACAAAATTAACTCAAAGTCTTATATTACGTCCAATTCCTTAACTACCTTCCTCAAAGGTTAAATAGCAATCTTAACAATACTTACTAAGATAAAATGGGTGAGTAATGTCTGCTGTATCTTTTTCCATTTGCAGGGCTTCAGTCTCCAAATTAATCTGTAACATTGAAACAGTGCCTTTAAAATTTCTGTGCAGTTATTTAAAGTTACATGAATTCTGCTAAAATGATGCTCCATTATTTTTACAAAAGTATTTGATATACTGAAATGAAAATGTTTAAATATATCTATTTTTTATTTTTGCATATGGTTTACTTTACTATATACCTCTTCTTTAGAGTTCACTGGCCAAAAAGACTAGAAATCAGCCAAAAAGACTAGAAACCAGCAAAAACCATCATAACCATGATTAAGTGACTGCAGAATGCAGCAACCAGCCATAAAAGTGAGCTGGTTTCCAAGTGCCCAAAATTTGGTCAGATGACCATGGATATGTATTGCAGTCATAAGTAGCTTTGGAGAGAGGGGGGGATCTGTCTTAACTTTAAATTGTCACTAAGCAAGGACTAGTATACAAAAAAGGAAAAAAACACTATAGACCAGGGGTCCCCAACCCCCGGTCCATGGACCAGTACTGGGCCGTGGCATGCCAGCAACCGGTCTGCATAAAGAAGCAAAGCCCCATCTGCGAGATGCAGGCAGCACACAAAACCACACCCCCTCCGGTCCGTGGAAAAACCTCTCTCCATGGAACCGATCCCTGGTGCCCAAAAGATTGGGGACCTCTGCTATAGACCTATAATATACTTTTTTTTCTCTGAAAACATCACAGGTATTATAATATTTGTTGTTGTTGTTGTTAGTTGCGAAGTCGTGTCCGACCCATTGCGACCCCATGGACAATGTTCCTCCAGGCCTTCCTGTCCTCTATCATCTTCTGGAGTCCATTTAAGCTCACGCCTACTGCTTCAGTGACTCCATCCAGCCACCACATTCTCTGTCGTCCCCTTCTTCTATTGCCCTCAATCTTTCCCAGCATTAGGCTCTTCTCCAGTGAGTCCTTCCTTCTCATTAGGTGGCCAAAGTATTTGAGTTTCAACTTCAGGATCTGGCCTTCTAAAGAGCAGTCAGGGTTGATCTCCTCTAGGACTGACCGGTTTGATCGCCTTGCAGTCCAGGGGACTTGCAGGAGTCTTCTCCAGCACCATAGTTCAAAGGCCTCAATTCTTTGGCGCTCAGCCTTTCTTATGGTCCAACTTTCACAGCCATACATTGCAACTGGGAAAACCATGGCCTTGACTATACGCACTTTTGTTGGCAGGGTGATGTCTCTGCTTTTTAGTATGCTATCTAGATTTGCCATAGCTTTCCTCCCCAGGAGCAAGCATCTTTTAATTTCTTGGCTGCAGTTCCCATCTGTGGTGATCCTGGAGCCCAGGAAGATAAAATCTGTCATTACCACCATTTCTTCCCCATCTATTTGCCAGGAATTGAGGGCCGGATACTGTGATCTTGGTTTTCTTAATGTTGAGTTTCAAGCCAACTTTTGCACTCTCCTTCTTCACCCGCAACAAGAGGCTCTTTAGTTCCTCTTCACTTTCTGCCCTTAGAGTGGTATCATCTGCATATCTTAGGTTGTTGATAATTCTCCCAGCAATCTTAATTCCAATTTTTGATTCGTCTAGCCCTACCTTTCTCATGATGTGCTCTGCATGTAAGTTAAATAGGAAGAGCAACAGTATACAGCCTTGCCGGACTCCTTTCCCAATTTTGAAACAATCAGTGGTTCTGTGTCCAGTTCTCACTGTTGCTTCTAGACCCGCATATAGGTTTATCAAGAGACAAATAAGATGGTCTGGTACTCCCATCTCTTTAAGAACTTGCCACAACTTGTTGTGATCCACACAATCAAAAGCTTTAGCATAGTCAATGAAGCAGAAGTAGATGTTTTTCTGGAACTCCCTAGCTTTCTCCATGATCCAGCGTATGTTATATTAAAGAAGTTTAAACTGATTTCTCTTCTGGAACAGAAGGTATTGTGACTAATGGAACAAATGTTCACACTTCACATCATTTTTATTAAAATAAGTCTTATTCTAGTACTAAAATATTATTTACCCGGCTGACTTCAGCTTGGAGATCAGCAATTTGTTCTGCTTCTGAGAAATAAGTAAAACAAGCAGATGGTTTTCTACATATATCTAGGGTCCCCTGCAGAAGAAAAGAAAAAGACAAACCAACTCAAACACCATGAAGTTTGGAATATTTACTTGTAAATAAAGATCAATTAATTCTGAAACAATTAAAAATTTATAAACTGATTGAACTATCACTTACTAGGAGAGACCAACACACAGAATACATATCTATATCTTTTAAGTGCTTTATTCTTTATGTTGCTTTGTTATAAAAGTAAAATCTACGGTTGAAAATTACTCTTGTATCATTTTTTTCTTTTAAAAATCTTAAAAATCTAAAATTCTTTATATATCTCAGAATATCAACCTTATGCAATAACATGCAAAGGTAATTTGACCAAAATATAGGTCTATTATGAAAAGTAAGTTATTCTAACAACAATCAAAGGATTCTATTAAAATATAAGTGGTTACTAATGAGGGGCAGAATGCAATTCAAATATTTATGAAAAATGTTTTATATATCGCTTATCTTTTAAAATATGATGTATTAGGGTGGTGCAACATTATTGAATGAATAAGAAAACTTAGGTGTGCACTTTATATAGTGTGTCCACTCTCCAAGTGGAGCAAATAAACACAGACAGCTTGTATGATAAAAGAACAGAAAGTTGGACAAATAGGTTTACAAAATGGACAATTGGAGAAAGGGACAAATTGGGGGGGGGGGAGAGAAATAGGACATAGTAACTTTTTACGTTTCTTGGAATGGGTGATAAAAATTACAGCAAAAACTGCAAAAATGTACTTAGGCCTACATATATATAACATTACGTCTTCCAGCATCATTTTTTTCAACTGCAATATTTTTCCAACAATCTTTATTTTCAAAGGTCATGATAGAAACCTATGAGAACCCATGTGACCTACAAATTACATTAATCTTAAATTTGAATGGGCTAGATTGAAGTTGATTGCTGGAATCAGGAAATAAATTAAGTAATGTAAATCATTCTAATCTAGACCACTGAGTCTGTCAACAGATGAGGAAAAAAAAAGCAAACAATTTACAATATACTACTGTGAAAATAGTCCAAAATAATAAAATTACAAACACTCAAAAAGCCAGATTTTAAAGCAATTCGTGCTGGATGCAAAAACATGAGATCAAATGAAATGACATGTCTTCCTTTTGCCAGACATCTAGGAACCTTAGACAGAGGAAAATAGTCTGCTCCTTTCAGAAATTAATTCCTAGTTAATTGACTATGGCACCAGATCTGACACAAGGGTTACTTACAAACATGTCCGTTTTTTTTTTCAAAGTAGCTTTTCAAATCATAAGGACGCTTTATGAAATTCAGTGGAAATTCCCACATAAATCACAGTGGAAGTACATATCCCTAAGTATTTACATAATAAATACAGTGTCTATGGTAGAGGAAGATCCAAATCGCATTTTGTTCCAATCAGTACACTTTTTTTGCGTCACATTTATTTCATGGGATCAAAAAACATACAGGACCTAGTTACAACAGAGTGGCATTTACATTCCTGTAGACACGCAGACGTGCCGAAGTTTGTCATGCTTATTTCGAAACAAAATGACCAAGCGTGCAGCAGAATCAGCGCAACATCCTAAATCGCGAGAAAGCTGCTTTCCCAAAGTAATTCCGGAAGAAAAAGGCGGGCCGTGCTTAAAGACCCCCAAAAACCAGCTGCAGCACCTACAAATCATGAGAATGAGTAATCTGAGCTTCTTTCATTCTGGCGCACAGACTCCTTTCTTAAGGCTTGGCACTTGTTTGGGAGACGCACACCGCCTCGGAGGCGATTCTTATTTGCAAGGAAAGAACCAGCTGCCCCACCTGAGACACCACTCCCGCGGAGAGAGCTCGCGCTAACATCAGTCCCGCCGCCGTGGGCTGCACGGGGTCCCAGGGGTTGTTGGAGGAAGCCATGGATAGGCAGCTCCGGGCGTAGCACGCGCGCGCGCGCTTCGCCAGCCTAGGAAGAGCCTCCCGGAGACGCCTGGGACGCTCACGCCGCCATCTTGAGTGCGGCCAAACTGCTCTCCCGCCACGCGAGTCTCTAACCGCCAAAGAAGACCGAAGGAGATTCCTCACACTTCCGCTATGGACAGTCCCGACCACGATCTATCCCAGCGGGGTCCACCGAAGCATTGACTCATCTGTACGAAGAGTGGCGGCTTTTCCTGCTAAATGAGGCATCCGGAAGCAAATGGCGACTTTTTCGGCCATTTTGATTGTGGCGGAAGGGACTCGGGTACTCTGGGAAATCCTCTCATCCCCGAGATTCTCAAATAATTTTTCGAGCGGAGAGCCACGCCATTAGAGGCGAGCCTGGCTGTCATCCGGGGGTTTGGCTCCTTCGCGGACGACTAAACTCGCCTGGCTGCTGTTTCCCGTCGTGCTGCGTATACGTGTTGCTAGGATGCGAGGCTGTGCCGGCTAGTAAAGGGACGAAGGTAATCTGCTCCTCCTTTTCGGGATCTCTCTTGGTTACTTTCCCTCGGGGATCAACTGAGGGCATTGGAGTCGAAGTAAGAGAGGCTGAAGTTGGTAGGTCAAGATCAACTCCGTTAGAAAGTGCAGGAATAAAAATCGGGACGATCATTGGATGGCAGCGAAGAAAAAACTTTTGGTGGTTTATTGAGGGCGGAAGATCGGTCTAAATTCTCATCCAGTTTTTTGTAGCCGTAACGTACCATCCTGGAAAGTTTAATCCCTTTTGAGATTTGGCTTTCGTATCGCGCTAAACCAGAGTGTGCTTGGTTTGTGTTCATGCAGTGTGACCTGTTTAGTAAACTGTAGTTAACTGGGTCCAGTTTGTCATCCGAATTAGTGTGCGTGGGATTAGAGTGCTTTGAGTGTGGCTTACTTCAAAGGAGGCGTAATTTTTCCTGCGAAGTTCAGTAATTGGGTTGATGCTGCCCCTCCCTTATGCTGCCTGCCTGTGTCTTTTGGTGGGAGAAAAAGATGACATCGTGCTTAATTTTTTCCTTGCTTATCTGTAAGAGGAAGTAAATGTTCACCTAAATATAATTTGTTGAGGGCCCTTGATGGTCAAAACTGAGGTTTTCCCAAATTCTCAGAGTTAAGTCTGACTCCACTTTCCCACCCTTCTCCTTACAGTTTTCACAGTTCCAAGTAAAGGAAAACGAACAGCTAGTACAAAAGCCAGTGAAAGGGAAATTGAATAATACAGATAGTCCCTCGATTTACAACCATTTGTTTATGACTATTCGAAATTACAATGGCATTGAAAAAAGTGAGTTATGACTGGCTTTCACATGACTATTGCAGCATCCCTACAGTCATGTGATCAAAATTTGGGCGCTTGGCAACTGGCATGTATTTATGATGCTTGCAGAGACCTGGGATTATGTGATCACCTGTTGTGACATGACAAGCAAAGTCATTGAGGAAGAGATTCACTTAACCATGTTACTAACTTAACAACTGCATTGTTAACAACTGTGGCAAGAAATGTCTTAAAATGGGCAACTCTTTTAACCACTGTCTTGTTTAGTAGTGGTAATTTTGGGTTTAATTGTTATAAGTCAAGGACTACTGTACTGTCTACTCTAAAACAATTGTTAGACAACAAACTTTTCTTAATACGCCAGTGTGGGGAGAAAAAATGATTGCTATTATTAACAATAAAGGCTGCATAACATTAGTTGAATGTATACATGAACTTAGTGTATAATCTCTACAGCACGGGTGTCAAACTCGCCATGTCATGTGATGTGTCGCAACGTATTGAAACTCTTTTTGCATTGCCGGAGCTGGAGTGGGCGCAGCCTCCGTATGATGCAACTGGCCCACAGGCCGGCAGTTTGATACCCCTGCTGTACAGTATTTCTTTGTAGTACTGCTGATTTGTCACTGAAAACAATAATTAATCAAGCCATGTTAAGGAAGGCAAAATTAGAAATAGTGCGTACCTTGTTACTTTTGGATTAGTGTTGATGCAGTGAATTCCAACATCCTTTTCATGTAAGACTGGATACTTTATTACTCATCACCCATTATAGGAAAGGGGTTCAAAGCCACACTGATGAAGCAATATTGTATTGCCAGCCTTTATTTTAGAATACTTTGTGAGGATAGTGGATGTGAGCATATGCTAAGAGCTCCTATACAAGTATTTTAGAATAGAAAACTCTGACTTCAAAAGGAAGATATTTAGAAAGCCTGTTGATTTTATACAAAAGAAATCTTGTGACTGCAACAGTAGAGAAAGCTGTGTTAGAGAAAGCTGTGCAATTCTATTCATATGTGATCAGAGGAAATCACAGCTCACTGGAAGCTATAACTGTATGGAGTCTTGTACTGCATGGATTTATTTACAGTGGTACCTTGATACTCATTATTAATTGGTTCCAGGTGGTGTGATGAGTACCAAAAACAATAAGTACCAAACACATTTTTCCATAAGAAATAATGTAGTGAGTCACAAAGCAGCCTACACCGATGAATTCTAGCTTGTGCATTGATTAACGAACGAACAATGAGTACTGGGACAACATTTTCACATCAAAATGAGTTGAGTATCAAATTCAATGAGTTTCAAAGCAGTTGAATACCAAGGTACCACTGTATTTGCAAGGGTTCTATGATGCTAAATTTCTGTAAATGGCTTACAAGATCTATAGGGTTAAAAGCATTAGTCACATCAAAGCCTTAACCAACGTACCATAACAATTGCGTAGGCTAAGCCTCTCCATCCCTAAATATGTTTTCCAAACAACAAACTCTTTATAGCTATTTAGAAGCCCAAGGACTTCCTTCTTGGGTGTAAGCAGTGCAGACGTGGAGCCATTATCAAGAAGGCTTGCCTGCAGTTTTAATTTTTTAATTTTTTAAAAATTCAGATTTATGTGTGTATATTTGGAAATATGCTGAATCTCTAAAGTGGAGGTTAATAAATTGCAATGGATTCTAACACTATAATAACTATCTGTTTAGTTACTATTATATAATGTATCTACTTTTTCAGCAGTTGGGAATTAATCTTTCTGAATGTAGAAGCATAAACATGCTCACTGAAAACAAATACTTTTGAGCAGGTCTGGTTTTCCGGTTAGCATGAATTTAATACAATGTTTTCATTTATCACTTCCATCTTTTCTGTTTTATAGCAACATTTTCATATATTTCTATCTTATTACTAGTGAATGTTGTGTTAAGATTAATTTTATGCAATGGTGATGATTTGAGTAATTTACGTTTACTTGAGCCGGTAGCATGGAAGATTGGGCCCCAATTTACCATAGAGCTGAGAATATTGAGAAGAAAATCATATGGATACATCTTTATTTAATATATTCTAAATTTACTTTTTAATAGAAAGTAATTTCATGTTGCCTAATATAGTGTGACTGAGAGGGACTCCACTACACATCTGCCACAATCCTTTGGTTTGCCAGTTGCAAATACAACAATAGAAAGATGGGAAACAGTGCCTTAAAAGCACATTTGGAGACAGCCCAAAAAACAGGAGTATTCCAATTAACTGGAAAAGGCCTTTCTGAGGTAAATGTCAATTTTGTGAACATATAGCACAAAAAAAATATTTTCATTTACTTCGTAAAATGCCAGAAAGATAAAATTATGTCTTGCTTTGAAATTCAGAATATTGTCTTTTTGATTACCATATTTATAGACTGAATTTGGCTATTTTAGACTTTATATTTTGGACCATTTCAAGCTTGGAGTAGGCTGTTCTGGTCTTATTGGAAATCCAATTAAGTATAGTCTAAAATCATATTATTTTATTTTCAGCTTGATATTATCCAGTTTGTTTTTTTAATCCTGAAACAAAATGTTTGTCTCAAAATGTAGCATTTAATGTTGGAATATTTCTGAATGCATTAATCTGAATGCAACATATTTTGCATACTTCTAATAAAAATGTTGAATATGTTCTATAGAAATTTTGATACTATTCTATATTATAGAAATCAGTTTAGATTTCTAAAGGTAGAACATTTAATGCAGACATGTCAAACACAAGGCCCGGGGGCCGGATGTGGCCCGCAAAGTGGTTTCATGTGGCCCGTGAAGCCATCCTGGAAACAGTGAGGGAACGGCCCCTGCTGCCTTGGCCCTGGCTCAGGCTGCCGGGAGCCAATGTACAATTTTGTGGTGGGCATCTATGCTGAAATGCATTCAGTCTTAGCTCCACAAGGCCGTCTAGAAACAGCGAGGAACCAGCCCCTGCTGTGTCGGCCCCACCTCCTGGGTGCATGCTGGGGAGTGAAGAAATGGACAATGCCTTGGCACTTGCCCCAGTCCCACCCCCTTCTGCCAGAGACCCTCAGATCTGTCCCACTCCTACCCAGGCCCCCACAGGCACCCTTGACGCGAACAATGTAGAGCTGGCCATGCCCACCCAGTAGGCCACACCCACTCCATACACACCCACCCAGTAGGCTGCACCCACCCTGGCCACATCCACCCGGCCCCTCGAGGCAACCGCAATGCTGATGCGGCCCTCAATGAAATTGAGTTTGACACCCCTGATTTAATGGAAGCTTATCCCTGTTGATCATATTTAAAAATTGCAGTTCTGCACAGTTTTACTAAAGCTCTCTGACTTGGATTTAATTTTTAAAAAGAAATATGACTTAATTGACTGTTATATCCATTAAGTAGCTGTGGCAGCTCATATTATGTTTTATTTATTTTGATTTTGCATAATATGAAATATTCTATTGCATTGAGTTTTGTTTCTTCAAATTATAGTTAATTGATTTTGGACAGATTTCACAATCCTTTTCCAATTTTTCATTATTTTGGGTATGTAAGATTACAAAACATAAATTTTATTACAAATCTTTCTGATTCTGTATATTTGTTGAAGTTTTTAATGCTTGGAATAATTTCATCAATATCTGAATTCTTTTTCAGTTTCCTGAAGATCTGCAGAAGTTCGCAAGTAATCTCAGAACGATAGATTTGTCCAACAATAAGCTTGAATCACTCCCACCTTTTATAGGAAAGTTTTCTGTATTGAAAAGTCTTGCTTTAAATCACAACAGACTGAGTATGTTTACTTAAGTATTTTTAGCTTGCTATATATTGCATATTAAATAATGTTTCATCACTAACAAAGATTTATTTGTAACTGAAGTTACTTGTTACTAAGGTTATGCATTACTGAATGCTAAGGCAATCAAAATTATTTTGATTTTTATGAAATAGGGACTTGGTCAGCTTGAATAATTTTTATTAATTGCTCTGTTGTTCTTTTCCCACATCTTCTCAATTGCAAAAGTTCTGATGAAAAGTGGAGCCTGTATATTAATGCAGGCAATTTGGCAGTATATGAGTAGAATAAATAAATTATATCTGATATATTATATATCGTATATTACAAAAGAACATTCCATTATATTATGAATGTTTATTCTAAGGAGCATTATATAGCAGAATAAAATATTCAGTCTTGACATTTTAATAATTGTTCTTTTTTCTTAGCAGCATGATTTAATTCTACTTATAATTTATTGCTAGCTATATTACCTGAGGAACTCTGCAAGCTGAAAAAGCTGGAAAGTCTGCATCTGAACAATAACCAATTGACACGTTTACCTAGCAGCTTTGGACAACTTGCAGCGCTAAAGACTCTGAGCCTTTCCGGAAACAAGTTTCAAACTATACCTGTTCAGCTATGCAGTCTTCTTCATATAGATGTGGTGGATCTTTCCAGAAATCAGATCCAGAGTATTCCAGATACAATAGGAGAGCTACAGGCCATTGAACTTAACTTAAATCAGAATCAGGTCTGGAAGTATATTTTTGTAGTTGAGCATTGTTATGTGGTGTCATAAATACTATGGGATGGAGATATAATTTGTGCTATAAGCCAAATTTGACAAGAGGTGGTGGTGGGGGGGTTTGGCATTAAAGATAGTCCTCAGTTAACAGTAGTAATTAGTCCTGAAATTTGCTAAACAATGTAGTCATAAAGTCGACGTTGTAAAGTGCCTTCACTTAGCAATGGCAACTATGGCAGTCCCCATTGTTATTAACCAAATCCCACTAGTAGTTGTTAGGAGAGGACCCATCTTGATCCAAGCCATCTCTCCCTCCCAGCCTCAAGCCTGAGTAAGGTAAGAGACTGCCTCCTCTGGCACTATATCCACCCACCTATCTTCCCCATCTCTCTCCTTGGCTTCCCTGCCCAGCGGCACTGCCTGGTGATGCTGGCAGTGCTGATGGCACTGGGGCTGAAATAGGGGCCTCGGGCCTTCAATCAGCCAACCCCAGGCCTTTACTTCAGCCCCAGCACCATCAAGTAGTTTTTTCTCAAGTCCCATATGGTGGTCAGGCACCCCAGTTTCACACTGCAAAGCCTTAGTCATCCTTGCTGTCCTGCACTTCACGAGCTTTGCCACACCTAGCTGAACTTTTCCATCTGCTGCTGCTGACAAAGTGCGCCCGTCTTGGCCTCATGTGAGAATGGCGTGCGTGAAATTACATTTTGTGCGAGCTGAAATGAGAAAATTACTGATTCTTTTTTAGGGACATTTAATAAAATGTTGAAATAGTTTTATTAATAAAATCAAGAATTAACTCTTAACATTCTAAACTGATGTTAACATCGATGGACAAAATATAAACTATATTGATCCAAGTTGATAGATTCATCCCTTTGTGAAAATTAATACAATCACCTTTTAAATGTGTAATTAAGTGGAGATAGTCTGCAATTGTAACTATGCATTGTGCTGAAATTGTAGTAGGAATTTTCAGCAATCCTATTGTCATGGTGGCTTGATTAGTTATAGCAAAACAAACCCAGTTCACATATAGTCAATAAATATAGGACTATTTTTTAGAAATATGAGTACCGTATATGCCGGCGTATTAGGCGACCCGGTGTATAAGACGACCCCCATCTTTGGCGCCGAGTCGCATTCCTAGAACGTCGTCTTATACGCCGGAAACTACCAGTATTTCCGGCGTATAAGACGATCCGGCGTATAAGACGACCTCCATCTTTGGCGCCGATTTTAATGCTTGCGGAAGTCGCCTTATAAACCGGCATATACGGTAATACTTTTTTGTTTTCTTATTTAATTGTTCTAATTGTGGAGACATTGTAACCATTTTTTTTTCCTTTTGCTTCTTTGGGCATATAACAGATTTCCCAGATCTCCTCCCAGATCTCTCGTTGTCCACGCCTCAAAGTTCTGCGCCTTGAAGAGAACTGTCTAGAACTAAGTGTACTTCCTCAGAGTATTCTTAGTGATTCTCAGATCTCTCTAATTGCTGTAGAGGGTAATCTTTTTGAGATCAAGAAACTCCGAGAATTGGATGGATATGACAAGGTTTGTTGGAAAATCATATATATGTATTTCTTTTTTCAACTAATTAAGCAGTAACATTTTACCATATATTTGGGTAGGGTAGTGTTCAAATGACATTGGATGTTAAATGAAATTAGAAAGAAAATGTCTAGATAGCAATTTGTATGGCCACTTTAAGCTAGAACTCCTGATTCATCTTTAAGTTTTGAAAAATAGTTACAACATTTTCCTAATTAATAGATTAATATATCAGAGTGTATGAGTATTTCAAAAATATTCTCTGTACCTTTCAAATTTGTCAAAGTGATTATTTAGTTTTATATTTAGTTCTGAGTATCACAGCACTGTTATTAAAATCTTCCTATGAGGAGTGGCATTTTATAAGCACCATGGCTATCAAAAGATTCCCTCAAACTGAATCTCACTTCTTTTGACCACATAGACTTCTCCATATAGGCTTCTTGACAATTGTGGTTTGTTTCTGCCATTTTCTCAGATGTTTCTTTGACCTTCCAACGTAGCTTACAACTAACCAGGCCTGATCCTGCTTTTTTTTTTTTTCAATCAGTCAAGATTAAATAGATGCTGCCACTTACTATTTCATTGCACATACAGGCTTTTATATAAAGCTCTATTGTCAATTAAAACTTGCACTCCTATTAAACCTCTTTGGATCAAATTCAGCAAAACCTATGTTCTTGTTTGGTATTCATCCAAAAAACTTTCCTGGACTCCTTTAAGCCATAACTATCTGTGCAGCCCTATGCTATTCTGGGATCTCTTAGTCCTCAAGTGTGATGCACTATATATATTTGCGGAACATTGAAAACTGAGAAAGAAGGAAGCATGAAATACTATCCTAGTCTGATTTCTGTTCTTGGTTGTTGAAATCTATATAACTATGATTTAAAAAACTGCAATTTTAAAGTTAACTACAATGGACATTAGTGGCAAGTTATATTATTAAAACATGTGCCCTCTTGTATTGATTGAACACTACTTTATCAGACTAGCTGTGAACCTCTTGTCCAACAGCAGGAGATTTAGGAAAGGAAAGACATTGAAACTGCAACTGGTCAGTAGAAATAGATTATGTACTAAACAGAAAAAAATAGGAAATCATGAAACTAGAAATAAATTATTTGTGAGATATCTAGAACTTGATTAGAACTTGATTCATGTGGTATGTTTATCAATAAAACTTTTTTTTAACATTTTAGTATATGGAGAGATTCACAGCTACAAAGAAAAAATTTGCCTGAACTACTGTGCCAGTTTTATCTCATGAATGAAAAGGCAACAAGAAATGTCACTGATGTGTGGATCCAAAATGCAACAAGCCTGTTGGGAGAATGACATTCAAGACTTTATATAAAGTCATAAAAGAACAGTGGCCTCTTGGTTTCAAAATGCCTTGATATCTTAGATCTCACAAAATGAATCCAAGAATTGGTAGCCTTGATATAATGCTTAGCATCCACTTGTTAAGTCTCCATCTACAAGGATTAAGAAGAAAATTTCAAAATGACCTGAGATGAAGCGGCTTTATGACAGTTCCTGACAACTTCATACATAGGAGGCAAGGCAGATGGAATAATGAGCTATGTGTATAGGCTCATCTGCCAGGAGGCTCACTAATTCAATATAGATTAACTCCACAATGCAAAGTCCATCTCTTAGCTTTAAATATTTTACAGTGTATGTAGGGCTGGCCATTTGAAAAATTACAGACAATAGAAGCACAAATTATGAATGAGCAGATAGTGGCTTAATATACCTAATTAAAAATAGTCCTATATTCACATCACAATCATATTCTCTAGATAGTTTGTCTTCCACTTGCTAGTCAAATAGTTCACCTTAGTGTGCTAAACTGATGGCTTGCATAATAGGATACTGTTTGCATTTGAATCTTCATGGGAGTAAAAAACTCCATTGTTTGGGGGAGGTGTTGATCACTGAATTGATGCCTTATGCAAAGCACCCATGAGTATTTAAAATATGCAACCTTGGAATAATTTACATGCTTTTTACAAAAGACCATACCTCCACAACTTTCTTAAACTTTTTAGCACCTTTTGACAAAATAAGCTGAAATATATTCTTATGTAATAGGAATGGCAAACATATGCAGCTGAAGCTTTCTGTAAAATGTACTGTTCGTGTAAATGAAATTTAAATTAAAAGCAACTCTATAACCCTAGGAAATGATCATAAATGAAAATGATTGGATGTTTTGACTTCCGGTTTATGTTACGGGATAGGATGCAGGAAGGCAGGGCTCTACCTTCCGCACCCAATTTCGCCCTGCTGGGGGCCCTAAAAAGGGCCTAAAATCGTCCCGAAGAGGCAATGAAGAGGTGGGGTGTCTTGTTGATTACAGAGAGATGGTGGTCTTTCCGTTTGATCCAAGGAAAGCCCTCCAAATCGGCAAGGGAAAGACCGGCTACATTCCTGTGGCTGGCTATTAGCTGCTGACCACCGAAGAAGGGAAAAGCACTACTTAATATATCATAAACAGCATGTTTGGAACTGGGTGAGAATACTGATCTTTTGTTTACTCTTTTACAACTGAACTTCCTGGGAAAAGCTCCCAAGAAGCTAAAAACCTCCAAATGTAAATGGAAGCGGCGTTTTAATTTTATTGGGGGCAGAAACATACAATATTGATGTGGAAATAACATAAAGCTACAGTTTTGAGAACTGAGACAATACTTAAGATTTTCTCTTTGAAAAAAAATTTGAAGTGAAATATAAGAAATCAATCCTTTATTTTAAGAGTGGAAATGGATTTTGAATGACATCTAGTGATGGATTTGTGTATAGCACCATAATTTGCTTCCTGGATGCTTGGGAGAACAGCTGGCAATAAAGGAAAATACTTTGGCATACTGTCAGGTTCCCAAAGAAATTGTCTTTTCATGTTATTTTATTTTCTGTAGCTTTTCTTTGTGGCCTGCCGTTCTGTTGGGAGGGGAGAGCTTTTGGGAATGCTTTGCACTGTCTGCTATGATGTCCTTCCTCCAGGGGATGGAATGTCTCACCCTTATCTGAGAGACAGTTTGCACTTGGAGCCAGAAGAAATCGAAAGTTAGAAAGATCTTGAGGAGCCTGCCAAAAGGACCGATTACCAAAACATGATGCCAGCTGTGGATTGGTTGGGATTCAAATGAACACTGGGACTCTGGGGGGAGGGGTAATATTAAATGCTACTTTTAATATATTGCTTTGCGGGTTTTTCTCTCAGATCTCGCCTTGATTCCCTGCTATCACTAGCCCCCAATAAAAGTTCTTTTTGAGACAATGCCTGTTTCAAGAGTTCTGCTTTCTTGGGTGGCTTAGCTGAGGTAGGTCCTTGCATAAGGCAAGATCTGCATAGTGCCCAACGCAGAGAGGCAGCTGCTCTATCAAGGTGGGTTGCAACTGACATGCCCCTTTCTACCAGTGATATGGAAGAGGGTGAACTGGAGAGATGGAGAGGAGATATTGTCCTGGCAGACCCCAGGGAAGGAACATCCAGGGACCTGGGAGTGATTAACCCTTGGCAGAAGGTGGCTAAGCCAGGTGGTCACTCAGGGTCGGAAAGAAAGAGGATGGAAAGGCTCAGAAAGTAACTCTCTTGCGAGGTGGAGGAAAGAAGAAGGTAAAGAAGAATGATCCAGAGCCTGCCCCTCCCAAAAAGGGACTGATGGATCCGAATTCCGAGATGATGAAAGCCATCTTAAAGCACATTTTGAGGAACTGAAAGCCCAGCTGAAGGAGCCATCAGACTTGGAGGAGAAAGCAAGTGAAGAAGAGCTAATGGTACCTGAGGCAGCGGCAGCCACCTGCAGTGGCGGCATGACAGGACAAACCATCCCAAAGACCCAAAGGGGGCCATACCCCCAACCAGCAGATGTGAAGCCAATTCCATTGCGGGTGAAATTGGGGTTCTTCCTAGCCCAGGTGTTCACATTCATGCAGCTATATGGAAGAACACTGCCTTTGGATGAGGAGAAAGTTAGAGTGGTCACCCTAGCAGTGGAAGACGCAGCAGCTGACTGCATGGTAACCCTGTACAACTGCAACGCTGGAGCTGAGAAATTTTAACCGCTTCATGGCAGCCCTCCGGCGTCATTTTGAAGGCCACCTGGCAGACAAGAAAGCTCGCGAGTAAAGGTGAAGCAAGGGCGGTGACCAGTAGCTAAGTACAGCGAGGAATTGCACGAATTGGCCAGCTGATTAAACTGGCCAGAGAACATCCTGGTGAGTTGCTTCCAAGATGGCCTAAATGAAGATCTGTACAATGCCTGTGTGGCCCACGGGGCCCCAGGGCAATTGTATGATTGGTGCCTCTTAGCAGAGAAGGTGGAAATAGATCAACACAAGCACCAGCACCGCCCAATGAAACCCATCTTCAAGCCCACACTGGAGAAGAGAGCTGAGATGGCCTGACCATCACTGACCATACCCTACTCTATTGCATGCTTCAAGTGCGGGAAATAGGGGCACTAGCAATCGACTGCCGCAACAAGATACCAGCCAAGAAAGGGGACTGGCAATCCACCAGCAGACCTACAAAAATAACACCGCGCCCAAGAGAGCCAGTGATGTCTTTTGAGGAGACCGTGGAACTCCCCCGAGCTCGTAGGTCGAAGGGTCGAGTTCTGGCTCTGACAAATGATGACTCCAAGGCTGCTGAGAGTGACAATGAGAACACTCGGTAAGTGGTCCAATTGACCCCATAACTGTGCCCCTAGAGCTGTCCATACCACGTACTGGAAAGAGAGTAAAATTAGCTGCTTTATTGGATTCAGGATGTACCTGCTGCTTGGTCAGCCCAGAGCTGGTGGGGAAAATGGGAATACTCCTCAGGAGGCTAAAGATCCCAATCATTTTCTGCCAACCCTGCATATTTCCATGGGAGGCCACTCAGAGACTTTAGCATTTGTTGTGGCTCCTAGCATGGAGTGGCCATTAGTATTAGGGTTGGCGTGGAATGGCTAAAGAAATGGAACCCCATAGTGGATTGGAGAGAAGGGCATTTGAAATTCCTGGAGAAGAGAGCCCCTCCTCTATCCAAAGGAAAAAGCGGGAGGCATGGACTATGTCGTGAATTAACCTCCACCCTCAGTGAATAGGAATTGCAGAGTCTCCCACCGGAATATCGAGACCTGGCCGAAGTGTTCAGTGAACAGAGGGCAGATGAGCTTCCAGCCCACCGGCCCACAGACTGTGCCATTGAAATTATTCCAGGGGCAAAACTTCCAAAACCAAAGATGTACACCATGACTCCAAGAGAATTGAATGAACTTTGTAAGATCATTGAAAAGAACTTAGCACGGGGTTTCATCCAGCCTATAAAAACCCGGGTGGCAGCCCCCGTGCTATTCAGAGAAAAGAAGGATGGGTCACTTCATCTCTGTGTATATTATAGAGGCCTGAACCCCGTATACATGGAGAACCTGTACTCCCTCCCTCTCATGAAGGACATGTTAGCACACCTGTCAAAAGGAAAAAAATTCTCCAAGCTGGATTTGCAGGAGGCGTATTATTGCATAAGAATACAGGGGGGGGGGAATGAATGGAAGACTGCCTTTAATTGCCCAATGGGTTGTTTCCAGTTTAAGGTGCTACCTTTTGAATTGCAAGGGGCCCCTGCTGTGTTTATGCAATTAATTAATGAGGTTCTGCGTGAACACCTCTACAAAGGGGTTTTAGTTTACCTTGATGACATCCTATCTACACTGAAACCAAGGTAGAACATGTTAAATTAGTTAGAATGTACTGAATAAGCTGCGCTCTGGTAAGCTATATGCCAAACTTTCCAGATGTGAATTCCATAAAGATTGTATTAACTATTTGGGCTGCCGCATCTCCAGTAAGGGTATCGAGATGGACCCAGAAAAGGTACAAGTTGTGTTAGAGTGGGCCCCTCCTCGTACCAGAAAGCAATTACAATGTTTTTTAGGCTATGCGAACTTGTACCAGCAGTTCATTCCCTCATTTGTGCAAATCGCACTCCCCATCACAAATCTATTAAAGACTAAGGGAATAGACAAACAGAAACCCAGCCAGCTGCTGAAATGGACAGGGGGATGTCAAGCCACATTCGAAAAGTTAAAGAGACTTCTCATTGCAGCCAATTTTAAAGCACCCAGATCCGGAGAAAGCTTTTTTCATTCAAGCTGATACTAGTGATGTGGTCGTAGGAGCAGTCCTGCTCCAGAGGAACGAGGAAGGCCAGCTGCAACCCTGTGCTTATACTTCTAAAAAACTGTCTGAAACTGAACAACAGTGGGCGGCCTGGGAAAAGGAAGCCTGTGCTGTGCGATTGACCCTTCTAACCTGGAGACATTTCCGAGAGGGGAGCAAAATACTGTTCCAAGTGTGGACTGATCATAAGAACTTGAAGGTGATGAAAACCTCTAGGAAATTGTCCCCTAAACAAGCACAGTGGTCCCAACATTTCCACCAATTTAACTTTACAATCCATTATCTCCCTGGGAGAGAGGAACTTCCCAGCAGATGCCCTATCTAGAATGCTGCAATATAACAGTGTTAAATCGGAAGTAATTGAGCCATTTATGCCTCCTAAACAATTTGCAGCGCCTGTTACTACCCGAGCACAAAGCAAAGCCACGACACCAATAGATTGAACAGCGTACCAGGATTTCAAAAAAGCACTAGAGATTGATGAGTGATTTTGGAGTCATAAGAACCTATGTTTAATCAAAGACGATCTGGCCTGGGTTGGGGAGAAACTATACATGCCAGCATCCTTAAGACTGAGAATAATGCAAGCTGGGCATGATTCAAAGATTGCAGGACATTTTGGATTCATCAAAACTCTACATCTACTTAAAAGGTGATTTTGATGGCTTTCCTTGAAAAAGGACATAGAAAACTATGTAGCGAGCTGCCCCACATGTGCTGCAGTTAAGTGGAAGCAAGGGAAGACGCCGGGACTTTTACCGCCGGTGGTGAGCCCTTCAGCACCCTGGAGTTCAACTTTCTTGGATGGCTTAGCTGAGGTAGGTCCTTACACATTATCACCCTGACCTTTTTGGATTATAAATACCTACTGAGCTTGCACTTTTAACTTCAAAAGCTAGAGGGAAAGAAAAATTTGACCTTGGACTACGCCTGGCTGAGAGAGACTTTTGAGCTGTTTTCAGAGATTTTGAACATTTTGAACACTTTGAATATTGTGGATTACAACATTGTCTGATGGACAATTTTTGGATATTTGAGACAAAGGATTACTATAAAATATTGTTTTCAGGACTGAATCTATACTTTGGAATCCATTGGATTATAAAGGATACATATAAAGACCAGAAAACTAGAGGGAACTTTGAGTCTGGTGATATTAGAGGATTTCCTGGAATGATGCCTCAAGAAAAAACAAACACCTTTTAGAAAGAAATATACTCTATGCTATAACTGATTCACTAAACAATTGTAGAATGCAAAGAAATCATAATGAGACTAAAAACAATTTAGACAATATAAACGAGCAAATCTCCAAATTAAACCTGCAGCTAGAAAGCTCTCAGATAATGACTAAAAATATGAACAAAAAATCCAGAAATCAGAAGATGAAATAGAGGAAATGGATTTAGAGATGGAAGAGACAAAAGAAGGGAAATATAAATGACTATATACAAACAAAATACAGCAAGACTTAGCTATAACAATGAAAATGCAAAAGATCTTTTACCCCTTATGTCTGCAAAATATATATGATGGCAAGGAAGAATATTTTAAAAAAGGGAATATAGAGTTGTTAAGGGAAATGTCACAACTTGGGAGACAGGGAATGAAAAGAGAAATGGAGGGAGAAAAAACTGGGAGTTGCTTAAGAAATATATATGGGTGGAATTTCCTCCCCCCCCCCAAATACCCTACCTAAATTGTCTTCCTCATGCCAAGCAATTTTTACAAGAGTAGAGAGAAAATTCCTGGGCGATCTAATTGCCCTGGCTTGGAAAGCAACTTGGCAAAGAAAGAAAGGAAGGAAGAGTCAGATTTAAAAAAACAGAAGATTTGACCTTTTAGAGGGGGCATTATATGTTTAAATACTTGTTTGAATAAGATTAAAAGAACGATGATCTTTAGATAAAATTAGCCTTTTATAATGAAAAATATGATTTAGAATTAAGATAGCTTTTTTCCCCCTTTTTTGATATGGGAAATATGAAGAGGATTGATTTGAATAAAACTTTTAGCTATCTAAATGTAATTAATATTGAGAAATCATAACTGATAAAGATATTTCAAATACTGATGGAAAATCAAACCTTAACAAGAGCATGAAAAACAGGATATTGATTAATGAATTGACACTATTGATTTATGAATTGATATTATTGTTACTTGTATGATATTAGTAAAATATGATGAAGATACTTTTATTTAACTCTATATACATTAACAGTACCAAAAATTGTAATGGTGTAATGAGGGGAAAATGGAAAAAATATAGAGAAGAAAGGAGGATCAGGGAAAAAATACTGGATTGTGTAGTATTGAACAGATTCATAATATTTGAACCCAGACAACATGTTGTTTACTAAGCACTAAAGACTGTAATTTAAAAAAAAATAAATTGGATGTTTATTAAAAAAAATTATTGGATGTTTCATAGTTGAGTTGAAACACACAATAACCCTTACATGATGTAGTATTCTTAGAAGTATTTTTTTTCATACACTATAAGTTCCAGTTGTTTCTCATTTTTTCTACTGCTATTGTAATCACAACTGTAAAGTCCCATTATATCTTGCATATGTTATAAATCAACTATTGGTAATATGTGTGCAATAGGATAGGTAATCATGTTATGGTATTTCTTCTAACAGCATAACTGGGAATGAAAGATTGGAGGTGAACAGAGTTGGGTCAGTTGTGAAACCTAGTAAATAGTAATAATTTCTCTAAGCTATTGGTATCAATTACTCCTTGCCAAACAATTTGTGATGCATTGAGACAGACAACTGGACTTTACCTCTAAAGTTCTGCTTATGTTAATATAAAACTAGACTTTGTGGGCTATTTTGATTCCTTTACTAGCCATTGAGGAGGCAAAAACAGTAATATAATTTTTAGCAATTTCATTTAATATAAACTTATATCAAATAAGATTGTCTGGTTTTTGAAAAACAACTTTAAAGATTTTGAAAACATGCCATTCCTGTTGATTATAACTGGATTGGGAATGTTTATCTATTCCTGTTTTTAGAACTTCCTGTAATACAGAATCTGTATTTGACTTGTACAGAGACACTTCAAGGTTTTTCTACTAATGCTGTCTTATTTGTTTCATGCTAATCTATGTCATTTTCCTAATTCTAATGAGTATTAGGCTTATTCAATAAACCTTGTTTTAGTTTACATATTGTATTAAGCCTATGACTAAATATTCTCTTCACTTCCAACATCCGATGACATACAGTGAGGGAAAAAATTATTTGATCCCCTGCTGATTTTGTACATTTGCCCACTGACAAAGAAATGATCAGTCTATAAGTTTAATGGTAGGTTTATTTTAATAGCGAGAGACAGAATAACCAAAAAATCCAGAAAAACACATTTCAAAAAAGTTATAAATGGATTTGCAGTTTAATGAATGAAATAAGTATTTGATCCCTTTGCAAAATATGATTTAGTACTTGTTGGCAATCTCAGAGGTCAGACATTTCTTGTAGTTGGCCACTAGGTTTGCATACATCTCTGGAGGGATTTTGTCCCATCCTCTTTGCAGATCCTCTCCAAGTCATTAAGGTTTTGAGGCTGACATTTGGCAGCTCAAACATTCAGCTCCTTTCACAAATTTTCTATGGGATTAAGGTCTGGAGACCGACTAGACCACTCCAGGACCTTAATGTGTTTCTTCTTGAGTCACTCCTTTGTTGCCTTGGCCATTTGTTTTGGGTCATTGCTATGCTGGAATACCCATCCACAACCTATTTTCAATGCCCTGGTTGAGGGAAGGAGGTTCTCACCTAAGATTTGATGGTACATGGCCCCGTCCATCGTCTCTTTGATGCGGTGAAATTGTTCTGTTGCCTTAGCAGAAAAACACCCCCAAAGCATTTGATGGTGAGGATGTTGTTTTGGGTTCATAGGCAACATTTCTCTTCCTCAAAACATGGTGAGTTGAGTTGATGCCAAAGAGCTCAATTTTGGTCTCATCTGACCACAACACTTTCACCCAGTTCTCCTCTGAATCATTCAGATGTTCATTGGCAAACTTCAGATGGGCCTGTACATGGGCTTTCTTGATCAGGGGGACCTTGCAGGCGCTGCAGGATTTCAGTCTTTCATTGCATAGTGTTATCAATTGTTTTCTTGGTTACTATGGTCCCAGCTGCTTTGAAATCAATGACAAGATCCTCCCATGTAGTTCTGGGCTGATTCCTCACCGTTCTCATGATCATTGAAACTCCACAAGATGAGATCTTGCATGGAGCCCCAGACCGAGGGAGATTGACAGTTATTTTGTGTTGCTTCCATTTGTGAATAATCGCACCAAATGTCACCTTCTCACCAAGTTGCTTGGTGATAGTCTTATAGCCCATTCCAGCCTTGTGTAGATCTACAATCTTATCCCTGACATTCTTGGACAGCTCTTTGGTCTTAGCCATGGTGGAGAGTTTGGAATGTGATTGATTACTTCTGTTGACAGGTGTCTTTTATATAGGTAACAAACTGAGATTAGGAATATTCCCTTTAAGAGAGTGCTCCTAATCTCAGCTTGTTACCTGTATAAAAGACACCTGGGAGCCAGAAATCTTGCTGATAGGAGATCAAATATTTATTTTACTCATTAAAATACAAATCAATAACTTTTTTCAAATGCATTTTTCTGGATTTTTTGGTTGTTATTCTGTTTGTTAAAATAAACCTACCATTAAAATTATAGACTGATAATTTCTTTGTCAGTGGGCAAACGTACAAAATCAGCAGAGGATCAAATAATTTTTTCCCTCACTGTAAGTAAGGATTTTTCTTGAAACTCTTTTCTTTCCATCTTGAAACTCCAGGGAAATTTGGAATTCCTAGATCTTATTTTTTTCAGCAAGGTGACTATCCCATCAGCCCATATCTTGCTTTACTCAATGGAACTTAGTAATGGTTCACCTATTGGACTCCATAGGGAGCTAAAAGCTGGATTCGTAACTGCAAGCAAAAACATTTACAGGATATGTCTATTAAACACAGGCCATTCAGACTTACACAGGCACTTAAAAGAGTGAAAAGATTTATAAATTATATTTATTCAGCCTAACAAGTATACAGGAGGACATCTTGGGCATTCATTTACATTATAGCTAAAAACAGATTTGTACTGTTTGTCTTGTGATACTAAGCTATACAAAATTTATCATTTTTCACAAATTGTAATACCAGATGATTGTGGTATTAATTTTCAATTTTTATGTTTAATATTACTAAGCAAATGTTCATGGTTCCCATACAACCTAGTGATGAAATGTTACAGAGTACCATTTTGCTCAGCAGTTCAATTAATTACAGCTTGATAAAATATTACTAGAAAAAATTAAATATATAGAGCTCCTGGAGGAATTAATTGTGTTGCCTCTACAGAATATATTTTCTAGCCAAATCCTGTAATTTGTTTTGGTATTAATAAACGTAATTTGAGAGGGACGTGCACAGTTCTTGCACTATGCTCCAATTCCAGCATTCCATTGTACAAGTTTATATAGAAGACTAAGCTTTATAATAAAAATTAAACATTCAGCTGGAAATGTGAAAAGAAACAAGGCATGAAGAAATTATTTAAGAACAATCACAGTACAATTAGGAGATTCATTTTGAACTTTATAGTATCTAGAATTGTTGCAGATAATTCTTTTAGACTTGCAGCAAAACATGCAAGGACTAGAAGAACCTTATAGCTTCAAGTTGAATAAAATACATGTTCTACTAAATATTGCGCAGTTGAATAAATCAATAATTTGGTGGATTCTTAATTAGAAGAGAATTAAAGCCATCTTGTAAAGGAATGGGCATCTAGTAGATTTGAAATTTAGTCATGTCTACAGATACATGATAGAAAAACCAAATCAAGAACCTTAATCCTGAAATGGGAGTAAACTAAAAGAGGCTCTAGGTTAAGTACTTATTACAGCAAACTACACCATGTGACCCATTCAACAACTTATAGCAGTGATTCACGGTGGTTTCCCTTGGATCCCTACTTCTCCTACATACTAACATTTTTTAAAAGAAAATTTACAAGAAACAATTCAAATTCAATAAATCATAATTTGTGGTACCTGCAGAAATATGCCACCATTTAAAAAATTGTGAATTGGATCAAATTCTATTTGAATAACAATAAAATGGTGCTTGAAACTGATTTCTTTGAAAAGCAAGAGAATGTATAGTCCAGATAGAAAAAATGAAGCAGTATTGTTACTAATATCACTAAGCAGATGGCTTTTGACTTCATTCAAACTTAGATTGTGCCCTGATTTTAATGTTTTTACCCAATATTTTAATAAATACAGTATTGAAATCACAATATCCTGCCCTTTAAAGATTTGTACAGATTGTATGAATTGTTTATATTAAAAGGATAACACATTTCTTTAAGGAACACTTTTATGAAATAAGTTTGTACATTTTTGATAAAATGTTTTAAAAGATCCACATAGAGATTTCATAGACCAATCTCAGCAGTATTAATACCTACAGATACACATTTAAAAAAAATGGCAAAAGTTCAGGATATTTATATAAAGGCATATATTAATTTTCTTGTAATCTCACGAGATTCCAAATGATCAAGAGTAACATGTTCCATGTTAAGCTGCCTCAGTTGCCCTTTCCTCTAATCCCACTAACATACACAGTTTCTGTGAAAGAAGTAAAAGAAATCAGGATTGAAAGTCCAATGTTTTGGAGACAAAAGTGGGAAATAAGTTTAAATTTGTCTTGAGTTACGTTTATGCATTATGCATTTTTGTATGTTTACTTATCTAATTTGCATGCAAGTTAGAATAGCTATGGCTTGGAAGTATACTTTATTATATATCCATTATCATCTTTCCCCATCATGGAAAACTTGGTAATGAAATCAAATATTTTGAAAAAGTAGGGGCAAACTTAATTTCTATAAATATGTACATTTCATGAAAACCAATCATCTACCAATTCAGTGATGACATGTAGTATTATTAAGTGAGGTAATTAAATCTAGTGAGTGCATCCTCTTTACCTTTAATCAGTCAGTTTGCACTCCATCTCTGAGTTGCCACAAGGAGAGTAAAGAAAAAAAAAAAGGGGGTGGTAGTAGTAAGACTAATCTCACAGAAAGTACAAAACCAAGGAAAATGAAGCCCTGAGGATACGAACATGAATAAGAAAGTTACACTTCTGTTGTGCTATTTTCCTGGATTTTCAAACTAAACGTACAATACAATAATGTTCTGCTTTGTTTCATTTTCTGAACAGTTATTTCTCTTTGGAAATTGAGGATATTTGTAGAATGAAAAAAGATTTCAGTTGACTCAAAACTGGCAATGGCTATCAGTTCTCAATAAGCTTTTTGGCTTTTGCATTGGCTTGGTCAATACGGTCTTTGTTGGTTTCAGCCTGAAAAAGAAAACAAAATGTGACGCTACTAGTAAATTATAAAGGTGCACAGAAACTATTCAAGCCTCTTTATAGAAGAAATTATATTTCTTCAAGAATATGGAGAACCAAAAGAGAGACATTTAAAGTTATATTAATAGGAAAAAAATCCCCTCTCTCAATTCATTCAGGATATGGCTTTTTGTAAATTGCTAAGCATTCTGCAAAGATTCATTGTACTCAAATGAAATGAAAGAAATTAAATATAAATAAAGGACAAATTCCAGCATGGAAGGAAAATACTGGAGGGACTCCACTGACTTGCTTAGAAAATAGCCACAGAAATTAGCCATGAAAGTATAATACTTAGGAGCAAGGAAGAAACTAAAGCAGCATAGATTTATTTACAAGAGAAAATCATTTAAATAAGTTCATAGCTGACAGATAGTAATACATTCTAAATAATATTCTCATTATTATACTACTACACTTACTTGTATATATTATGGTTGTTTTTTAATTTAAAAATTAACATTTGAAACACTTTAAAAAAATAATTTAAAATATTTAACACTCATGTTAGCAAATATTTACCATCTATTTACTGCTCAGTCTAATGACTAGCACTTACTAATCTATTCACATACACAAAGATACCAGTGGTAAGCTATTGAGAGAAACAAGGCAGAAGAATTACTTAGGACAAGAAAAGAAAATAAGTTCTCAAAACAGCATGGTCACTTTTCTTCATTATTATAAAGTGCTGCTATGACTTTTAATAGGATTTGTTGATCACTAGTTTAGCAGCACTATTCATTAATTGTCTGAAGACCCATCAGTAATAAACTTTATTTAAAATATTTATTCAAAATATTTTTTAAAACTTGCTTAAATCAATCTACCCTGATTTATATCTCATTTTCTCTAAAGATTGCTTGGTTTTAAAACTGGTAAAAACTAATATCAACTTTCTTTTAATGATAAGGATATTTATTCTTTCAACCATCTTATCACATTTGGATACTAAGTATCAGATATTCAAGGCATTCATTCCATAACTCCCTAATTTGAATGGGTCATTGCAACATGCAAAGCAAGAAAGTAAGATAATAATAAGCCTATAACCTTGGGTACTCAGTGTGATGTCATGGACACTAAATAGCCACCAACACTACCATTGGTGTGTGCCAGGTTCTCTATCCTATCTGCATTATAAAAAGATTTAATTTACTAAAGGCATCCAGAAAAACAGGAAAGAGGATTAAGATAATTGATGTGTTGTTGTTTTTTTAAAAAAACTAGTATCTGTGATCAGGCCAGCCAATGGTGCTCTGATTCCAAAAGTCATTTTGAGAGTTGACCTTTAGCTACTGACTGCAATATTTATTCCTCCTCTCCCCGTTTCTGTCATGGCATTTTATATAAACAAAACTTTTTTTTCTTGGCACTGGTTCATCCTTTATAGAATATCAGTGTTTCAGAGAAACAAGTGCAAAATGTTGAGAAAGTCCAGAGTCAGAATAAAGCAACTTTAGTGGTATTTATTCTATTCTGGGCAACACAAATCTGCTTTTTAACCAACCAGGATATGATCTATAGCTCAATGTGATATATATCTTCAGTGTATATATAGTGCGCTTGTTTTGTGTATGGGTAGAAAGGAACAATTCACTAATACCAGCATATCACCAGGTTGCTTGTGCTTTGTAAGGACAAATATGAGCTGCATCAGATTCCACATTTACTTTGTACTTGAGTTCTTGGGCAAATTGCTTTTTTAAAAAAGCAACATCAACATTTTCCTGGAAATTAGTGTTTTGTTATTCATTTTATGAATGGACAGCAACAATCAGAAGGCACATATAACATACTTTTCAAATGTGTTCCTCAATCCCAATAATATGGTATTTATTGGCATTAGTATTCATTTTATTTTTCATATTGTATCATGATGGAAATATTTCAAGTTCACAATTCCAAAGGATTCACCATGAAATCAAATTTAAATATATCCTAGAGAGAAATAATGCTTTGGGTGGAAGAATGTTATCCAGCAAGAGAGCAAGGACACAATCTGTTGGCAAATTGGAAATTTGTACACCATGGTACTGTACTCCGGAACAATTACCTACTCATCTCAGCAATTATGTCTCTGATAATTAAGGCTGTAAAGATCCAGTTCTCGCTTCTTACCTTCTCATTTATCCGGTCTATCTGCTTGTTTTGTGAATCGATCTCACTGCCCATATCCAAGGCCATATGTTTCAGATTTCCCAAGATATGCCCCACTTGAGTTAAGTTATCCTCCATCTCATCTTCTCTGGCATCATTTGTTATCCTTTTCAAAATATCAAAAGAAACCTACTTTGAGTACTGGCAAGTTCCTTCTTCTTCTTCTTCATTGTAATGAACTACCGGTAAATTCTCTCTCTCTCAATCTCTCCCTCTCTCCCTCCCTCACCTGTCTATCCACATGCTCCTACTACTCAAACTGTCCTAGGGCAGTTCTCAATAGAAATTAAAAATCATCATCAGTTAAACTATTATAAAAATACCAAAGCCATAAACGCATGATAAAATTAAATAACAGAATCATAATCACAGTCCTAATTCTATCTCAAACAAACATTTCATAACTTCAGTCTTAAAATATATCTAATTGGCAACTTATAAAAGAGGTTAAAAATAAGCCTATGTTTTTATAAAGACTTTTATACATTCCACCAATCGTGCTGCAAAATTTGATTCAAAATGTGTTATTTGGAATCTTTGAAAAATGACTAAACAGTGTTCTGAATAAATATTCATGATTTACACAGAATAAGCTTCTCATGATGGTTTTCAATACCCCAGTACTGTTGCAGAACAACAGATACGGAATATATATTTATCAGTGGAGGAAGAAAAGACTATTTACCGCTTTATGTATCCTCCAGCTGGTCCTCCTGAGGTCTGTTGTTGGTAATTTCCTGCCTGTCCTGGTTGTCTGGTTATTATATGATCACCTGAATTTTCAGAGTTCTCACCCCAAGTTGTCTTATATGCTTTACTAGACTCAAAATTCCTTGTTCTATAAGAAAAATAAAATAGCTTCAATTAGCTAAAAAGATAAATACACAATTTAAATTTAGCTACTTTGAAATAATATTAGGGAATGCCAAGGATTCTTTCATATGACACTAGTAAATAAACCCAGCTTCACCACAAAATATGACCTTATTCATACACTATCCAAATGTATATTAGGTCAATGTAATGCCTGGTAAGTTAAATATGGTTCAGGAGAAGTGTGATCATAGCTTGTCACTGATTTATTCCTTTGAATGACATTGAGGGTGGGAGGTTAACCAAGGGAGGTTAATCTATACTTAATCCTGTTCTCATAGTCTTTGCAGCTTCTATCTTTTTAAATTAGCTACAGGTATTCCTCAACATACGACCGTAATGAACTGTCCATTACAACTATATCTCATAACAATCATAAAACAAGTGACTGGCCTGATTATATGGCTTTTTGCAGCAGTCATTAAGTGGCGATTGTAAAGTGAATGCGGTGATTTTTTAAGCAAACCAATAGTTTACTATAGGTGATTTGCCCAAAACAGGAAGTGCTGGTTTTTGGCAAAGCTATCATAAAATGTGATCACATGATCATGGGATCCTGAAGACACCCATAAATACAGCTATGTTGCTGAGCACCTGAAATTCAGTCACATGGCCATGAAGAGAACCCAGCCACCGGAATTTCAAATCCAAGTCCTAAGTCTCTTATTTAAGTCAGTTGCAACTTTGAACAGTTCCTAAGCAATCAGTCATAAATCATGACCTACCCGTACAGTGTGGGTTGAAGCAAAATTGATGGAGGAGGTAGAGCTTCCCCCACCTGCCCAAGTCTGTGGTAATTCCACCCTTGATTGGCCTACCACTGTTTCTTATAAGCATTTTTATAGAAATGTCAACTAACTACTGCAAAGGAGTTTAGAATATCAGTCATCATAAATGTTAACCAACAATTTATGGCTATTATGATCTGCCATGTCATGATGCTAAAATAAGGGATACAAATAGTCATCGACTTACAAACTATTTTGCCATAGTTGTTAAGCCAATTACTGCCAATGTTGTCATTAAATGAATCTGGGCTCCCCCATTGGCTTTACTTGTTGGAAGCTGGCTGGGAAGGTTACAAATGATGATCACATGACACTTAGGCACTGCAACTGTCATAAATATATGCCAGTTTCCAAGCACACAAATTACAATCATGTGAACACGGGGATGGTGCAATGGTCGTAAGTGTGAAAAACGATCATAAGTCACTCTTTTCTGTGCCATTGTAACTTTGAACGGTCATTAAACAAATGGTTGTAAGTCAACGACTACCTGCATAGCTAGCTTACTCATAGTTAGCACCTGACACGCTATATCATATTTGGTATACTCAACACATATTTGGTATTCAGTAGAACACCAGAAGAAATCATCTTGGATTTGCAGGCAAATCAATATGTACTGTATATTAAAGCACTGTAATTTTTTATATTAATAGCTGAAATAATATCCAAAATGATTCATGCCTTAGAGCAGTGGTTCTCAACCTGTGGGTCGGGACCCCATTTGGGGTCGAACGACCATTTCATGAAGGTCGCCAAACCACGCTGTCCGCCATTTTTTCCCTTTTCCCTAGCTGTCCTACTCCCTCTTATTGGTGGCCACACTCACTTGGCCACACCCCTGGGGGTCACCACAACACGGGGAACTGTATTATGGGGTCACGGCATTAGAAAGGTTGAGAATCACTGCCTTAGAGGCATTGTCCATGAATTAAAATGACTGTTTGCTAACAAAGTTAGCATTTCTCAATATATAATATTCTACTTGCCCTCTAATGACAATGTGTTCCTTCTAAATCTACCCTGGAGGGGTGAGATATCAGATTTAAAGCAAATACATGGAATGCAAGAGTGAAGAGAAGTCTTTTTGCATTGGTGTTCAATTTATTTTTATGAAATTCACATTCCCTATTTATATGTTCAACTATGTTAGCTCATTCCTTATAAATTAGTTGTAAGAAGTTCCTATACTAAAGACAGCCAACTTATTTGCTTATTATACAACCAAGTATGTACCTCTTAGCATTATATTTATGGGGCACCTTTTATTTAATGAATTGTATGGAAAAACCTAAAAAGCCAGCTTGCTGCTGTGGTTAAGGCACCAGGCTAGAAACTGGAAGACAGTGAGTTCTAGTCCTTCCTTAGCCATGAAGGCAGCTGGATGACAGTGGGCTTATCACGCTCCCTCAGTTGCAAGGAGGCAGCAATAGCAAACCACTTTTGAAAAACTGCAGGGACTGGTCCAGTTACCAGGTGTCAAAAAACTAATCTGAAGGCACAAACCAACAAAATATTGAGAAATTTATATTGTGCTAATTTCACCAAATCATGCATCAGTTAATCATTATCCTAATGGTAATAAAAATGGAGGAATGCAAAACTTATTTTTCTATTCAAACATTCATATAACCAAGATAAATCTTCTATGTATTGTTTTATGCTGTATTATTCTATAACAGGGGTCTTCAAACTTGGCCCTTTTATGACTTGTGGACTTCAACTCCCAGAATTCCTCAGCTAGGCACGATGGCTGAGGAATTTTGGGAGTTGAAGTCCACAAGTCATAAAAGGGTCAGGTTTGAAGACCCCTGTTCTATAATATCTAATTTTTATTTGGTTCTGGACTTACCCCATACAGTGGTACCTGATATTTTTAAACTAAACATAGGAATCCTGAGGCTATGGGCATTTTTACAAAACAGTTGCATGCTGAGTAATACTTGACAAAAAACATTTTTCTCCATGTGGTAGATCATAGTTAAAACAATATGTGAACATTATCATAACATTTCATATTATTCCTCCAATATTTTTAAATCTATGTATAAGCTATTATTTTCCTGAAAAAATCCTAACAAGACTTAAATTGTATATCACCTGCTATTTGCATTCTAAACATTATTTCAGATCAATCAAATCAGAATAGCTAAATATAAACTACAAACAACACAGCACAGATACAACTACAGACCATCACAAGGTTGCTTGCATGTTAAGAAAACATGCACAATCAGACATGCATCATGTTAGAACATCACCTTCAGACAGCTGGTTAGCAGTGCAAACTGCTTCTTAATACAGGGTTTTTCCTAAATTCCATTTTGAACAGTTAAGTGGATCCAACCTCTGATGTTAAATCTTCATTTTATTAAGAAGGAAAAATGGGGTGATTAGGAGAGAATGAAAAAAGAGTGAACAGTAAGACAAGCAAGCAGATAACTATTTGTTAGCTGACAAACTATTTCAAAGTATAGCTGAGAGTATGCTATAATAAGAAAACAGCTTTAAAACAAATCAGGAAGAAAAGAAGTATTATGAATATTATATTCAAAATTTGTAAAAATGCTGTGCTATTCTGACAAAAAGTCATTTAATTTAGCTCTAGGAACGGAAGAATTTGATTTCCTTTCATCTACTTCAAATCCATTCAATTCTTCTTCCGTCTCTATATATTTGCCTTATATACTATTTTGTTATCAAGCATATCAAAAATTCCACAAAATTACTTTTCCAATGTACAAAAATTTCAACTATCACAAAAACTTCATACTTTTCAGAATGAGGGATACAAATGTACTATTGGGGGGGAAAAGACTATTACACAGCACATCATGCTTTCCTTGTAATCCTTCACTAAACTGACACATATCTTGTTCCCACCCAGTGAAGCTGAGGGAAAAATTCTACAACTTTCCCATGAATTGTTATTTTAAATCTGATTGATATGGACAATAATTTTTTCCACATACCTAATAGGTAGTTTAAAATCCAACCCAAGCTTGTACTAATTGCTTTAGCTTCCCTATTCCAATATATTACCAGATTTAAGTCACAGGTATATTTGCACATCTAACTAAGCCTTATAGCACCTAACTACTGGTACATAACCACTGGCTTTTCTTCTCTAGTTGGCATAGCTTGAAAACAATTTAAACATTCATTGTTTAAACTTTATTATGTCATCCACTACAATTTCCATTTGTCATTACAAAAAAATCAAAACCACTAAATTTAAAACATTCTGGTCATTATTTTATTCACAGGTTACCCTTATGAACAAGTACAATTAAGTCTAAATAAGCATTTCCCAACTTCTTCCTTTGTAGGAACCACTACACTAAATAGAATGTTTTTGTGAATTGCAAGAAAATCAAGGAGACAGCCATACTTGGTGGTTGTCATGGCACTGGACCCCAAAATCAGAGTATTTTTACGAAACAAATACATTTTTAAAAGACTGAAATTTCACAAGACATCAATGCTCTTGTCTCAAATCTTTTAAAATTTGGGATAAAAATGCCACAATCTCATGGCTTTTCAAATGACAATAATGAAAACTTTATTTTGGATCTACACTACCAACCACTGAAACAAAAGTGTTCAAGCTTCATAGATCTGGAGAAAGGAGCAATCATTCACACTTGCATGCACCCATAAAGTTTTGGATAATACCCCATTGGAAAACCTGAAAGGGCAGGTTGGGGTCAGATCATCCCAGAGGAGGTCAATTTTTGTAGTTGCTCAAGAGTCTACCTGACTTAATAGCACATAAAGAAGACCATATGAATGCAGTCAGTGGCTTGGACAATGTTAAGGTAAAATGTGATTTCTTTGAATTTTGCTTATCATGTTATGTGAACCCAGTTGCTATTGTTTATAAACATAGTTTATGGCTTAGGATTATAAGTGAATACAGACCATGGTTTAGCACAATATCCAATTTGTGTTTTGAATTTTGTAGCAGTTTTTTTCCATCAGAGAGAACAATAGCTTAATTAAATTTTCTAGTCACTGAAGTTCTAAACAGGAGTGATATTTTTCCTTGAAAAAAGCATCTTACCAATCTGCTTTTAACTGACCTATTGCACGGACAGACACAGAGACCACAGCACTTATTAAGCTCTGTCAAGTTCTTTTCAGCTTCTTTCATGTCTTTGTTTATTTGATCCATACCTTCTTCTATGTGGTTTAACTTTTCTAGGAAAAAAAAGAAGCTTTAGAAACTTTAAATAACGTAAATGCTTACACTTCATATAGGAAGGTCTGCATTCAAAACACTTTTTAAAAAGCATTTAAAAGCAGTTTAAGAAGTGTTAATGTTTCTGGAAACTACTGCAAGCCTGTGGACAATGGCCATGCCTGTATCCGGACTGCATTAATTATGTATCTTTATTATGTATCACTATGAGATAGATTTCTAAATTTATAATCAAAGATGCCATAATTTTCTTTATTACACTTGTGCAACTCACCGCCTTGTTCATCTAACATGGTAATGGTTTTGATTCCAGCATCTTGGGACTATAATAGAAAAAAAGAGAATACAGAACCACTACACCATGGAATTAGTGTAATGACACAATTTGCTACAGGCTATTGTGTGGAGAAACTTCTAAATAATTACATAAAAATTTATCAGCATAAATACTACTATATAAAATTTTCTTCTAGGTAGAATAAAAAGATATTCCAATATGGCAAATTATTTTGTAATATAAGCTGTAAGTAACTGGTGAATTTGTTGCTTTTGTTTTTTGGTCCTATGATAAAATCATTTCAATTTTATATAAGTTTCATTGTTTATTTTTATTTAAGAACATTTATATGGCTGCCCAATTTACTCTCAGTAACTCTGGGTTGCTTACAAAGATACAAATCTGATATTAAAACAATTAAAAAGCAGAAAAAGAAGAGAAAAAAGCAAAGAAAGAGCTATTGCTCTTTCTAAGAAAATCTGAGAAATACTTCCATACACGTAATGCTTGATGAATGTAATATACTCAATTTCATTTAATGTTCTCCACCCGATTTTCCCCCCTCCACCCCCCAAAAAAGCCTTTAATTTCTTCCTTACCTCAATGGCCATGCCAAGGATCCTCCTTGTGCTTTCCAAAGACTAAAATAAAGATAGATTTCATTTCAGGCATGGAGATTTTTAAAGATATGTAATAATTATATAACTTTAGACATTGCTTTAAGTAAGCACTACAGTATACCCTTGTTTCTGACACAATGCAACTACAGTAAGCAAGGTTTTGTCTTGATTAGTGATATTTTAAAAATCAACATTATTATGCAGCCACTATTTTCCAGACAAACCCTCTTTTTAGATTCGGTGTAAGTCTGTCCTCTTGGAATCTATAAATTTTCTTTTTAAAGAGTCTGAAGTTTGTTCTATTGCGGCAGTGAAGAAGAGCAGAAATATACGATTAGCAAGGCTCTACCTCTGCCTTCCAAGCCTGGTGAAATTGCCCCTTGATGGTCTGTTTTGGCAGGGTGAAAAGAATGGGAATGGAATTGTTGCAATGGCTGATTCACTCTTACCTTCTCTAAGGCAGTGTTTCCCAAACTTGACAATTTTAAGGCATGAGGACTTCAACTCCCAGAATTCCACAGCCAGCAATGCTGGCTGTGGAATTCTGGGAGTTGAAGTCCACATGCCTTAAAATTGTCAAGTTTGGGAAACACTGCTCTAAGGGAAAGTATGTAAGAGCCCTCACAAAAGAGGCCACCTGCTAACCCTGAAATGACTTTGTGGGGCTAAAATACAGTCTGGAGGAAGAAGGCATGCTTAAAGTGCGGCATCTATAATATTTCCATCTTTTCTTTTTTTTGCATACCATCATTGTTTTCTCCCAGTTCTTTTACTTTCATTATGATGTCCCTACTATTTCCACAGATTAATCCTGAGTTTTATATATATAAAAAATAACTTGCAGCATACTGAGCTTGATTGTGCTTTTTCATGAGTGATATTTAATATGGGGGAGGGAGTCTGCATGCTGGGCTATGTGTAATACATAAACAAGGGTCTCCCCTTCAAAAAATTCATTAATCCTAGGGAAAAAAGTACTTTTGTTTTCTAAATTCAAGTGATTTAGATGAAAACCTCCCCTTCAATGTAATATTATCAAGCGATATTGTATAACCAATCAATTTTAGTGGAGATCATGCACTGTAAAAAGTTTATCTATCCAGATTATTGTGCAACAATATATTTGAAGTATTTACCTCATCTGTAACTTGATGGGCTTTCAGTTGAATTTCTTCTTGTGACAATTCAGCCATGATTGACACTTGTTTTTCAACATCCAATTATTCACAACAGGATTTCTTCTATAATAGTAAAGTATCAGTGGTAAGGGTATAATCTTGACCAGTTTTATGTAATATAAATTTGTTACAAATAAAGTGTGTCCTATTAATATTTTTTTTATTAAATTTATAACCAGTTTAGTTGTCAGCTTTCTAGGAAGAAGGGGGGAAAATCAAAATTTCAATATTAGAATATTCTATAAAAATTACAGTAATATAATGAAATACAATACTTCATGTATGTATTTATTGTTTTAATCAGTTTATATGCCCATCCATCTCAACAAGTGACTGTTGGCTGCAAACAAAATTAAAATAAAGTAAAAATAATTACAAGCATTACCAACACTGAAACGCAAAGTAGCCAAGAGACATCAAACTCAAATCATTAATGTAACCAAGAAGTGGCTCCCTGCCACAATCATGGCCCCAGGTCCAGGACTTTAGGGTCTTACGAAAGGCCAGCAGGGACAAGGTCATCCTGATCTCCAGAGAATTAATGTCTTTAATGGTAGAACTATGAGCAGCATCCAAATATCCTACACTGTATCTTCATTATAAAATAGCAGTTTACATAAAAGTTACACTTCTACATGATAAGTTAAGAAATAAAGAGAAGTCGAGTTTGCTCCAACTTCTCTCCTGACCAAATGATTCTCATCAGATAGTCTTCCATAACTCTTATCAATTTTGGACGTTGATTGATTTATAACTTTTTATCAATGGTCAGCACTATTTCTAAATAATCTAAGATATATTGATTCCCTCACTTGTTCAATGCTCCTGCTTTTTGAGGGCCCACCAATCTTTTTTAGATATTAATATAGAACTACAACTGTTGGGTTCAGGCAAAATTGGATGTATTGTATTGTTTTCTTCCCCAGAGAAAAATACATTTCTAGTGAAGCAATTTTTCAAGTGCAGCAGCTGGGACCAAACAAAAATGGAAGAAAAATGTCGCTCTTTATCCTGCAGAATGTCAACAGAAGAGAAACAAAATGCCTATTTCCCACATATTCAGTAGTAGCTCCAAATTTTTACTAGTGATTTTGAGTATTTGCAAAAAGAAAAAAAAAATCTAATTTTGCTTTTCCTGACAATTTTCTCAGACAGTAGCCGGTAATATGCAAAATATTAATAGAAATTAAGTATGAGGAACAAAACCAGAAACTTTTAAAAATGAGCTAAAGACACAAAAGGTAGTTTAGAGTAATCATCTGTAAAATAAAATATAGAAGAGAATCGTAATAATTGTGGGAATAGTTTTAAGCCACAAGTCCTATTATACATAAAATTTATTCCTCCTCTACATAAATAATCATCTCCTAATTTAATATCTAAAACTTTGTATAAGCCTCTTATAAAATTTATATGAAAATAAATGTTACTCTATCCTTATTTATCTGTAACTTGGAATGTAACAACAAAACCTAAACTTTGAAATAATAGCTTTATAGAAGCTTAAAATATATCTGTATTAGTACATCCAGTATTAGACCAAGACTGATTAATGCAATTGCCAAAAAATAGATCTCCAAAAGCCACTTAGATTAACATAGTCTTAGTCTTCCCAAACATAAGCTTTAAGAGATTGAGGAACAGATAGCCTGGACTTGTTCGAGGCCTTGTCTTAAATTCTACCATAATTAGAGAAAATTACAGACCTCACCTTTGCAGTTATGCTAACGCAGTGTTTCCCAAACTTGACAATTTTAAGGCATGTGGACTTCAACTCCCAGAATTCCACAGCCAGCTTTGCTGGCTGTGGAATTCTGGGAGTTGAAGTCCTCATGCCTTAAAATTGTCAAGTTTGGGAAACACTGTGCTAACCAAATGTGGAGTAATTTCGCCAATTGTAATCCATCTTTGTTCACTCATGGGCATACTGCTTACATGGAGAGATATCCCTGTATTCATGAAAGGCCTAGCTAATAGTTTGCAACAACTTCTTCAATTATTTTCAATTTTCCTTTAGTACTGATTATTCTTTTTGGGGGGAGGTGCCATCTGTTATAGATATTATTTCATTTCTGGGATGTATTTGCAGAGAGTACAAATTAAACAAACTTGTCTTAAATAAGACTGACAATTATGTTTCAGTTGCCTTTACTAAATAAGCTCACGATTCAAATCTGAAGAAAATATCAAACATTCATAAACAGTAAACAAAAAGATGGTGTTAACTGACGCACAGAAGGGCAAAGACAATCTGCATGCAGGACAACTGTAAAATGACAATGGCAGTTCTCACTTGCCAGATAGAAGAACTATCAGATCTAAGTAGCTACCTCAGATAAAGAAGTCTGCAAGCTGCCCAGATTTACCTCTGGTTCCTCCATTATTACTAGTCACTGGAACATAACATACAATTAACACCAAGCTATGAATACTACTTCTATGCACACCTATAACTCTTAGTTATCACTTTTTATTTTTTGACATACATGTCATTCATAATTTTGTACCTGTAGTTCCTTGAGTATATTTACAAAGTCCATTCTACTGTATCAGACCATCTTCATTCACATCTATTAGATCCTTCCCTTTTTCTCTTACTTCCACAAACACAGTGTTTCTTTCATTTCACTTTGGAAATTACCTTCCTTGCTTTGTGTTTACATGCCTAGTCATAGTCCTCTATATGCTGTAGTAATCATCAGATAGACCTGTAAATATTGATCTCCTGGACCCATGGTTTGGTTAACTGACACTCTCATATTATACTTTTTAGTAAGAGGAAGAGAGAGTAGACTAAGTCAGTGTCCAATATACAAGATTCCTGTAAGGGCAATGCTGGTCAATTTTGACAAATTTGGCTCACTAGGCCACAAGCATAACCTAAGCAACTCTTACTGCATACATTCTCATGCTATTCTATAAAAAGTAAGATTTCTAATCTAGGACTTTCTTACAAGTTAACATATTATTGCCTGCATTCTATGCAGTGTTCAAACTTCAAGATGCTTTCATTTACCTATTCTTGGGATTCTTTTGTCACAATTAATAAAATGAGAAGAAAAGGAACAAGTGACATTTCCAAAGTATTGTGTGAAAAATACAAAGTAACAGACATTTATGCAGTTTTACAACTTTTTTCATTTTACAAGTCAAAATGGGAACTTCCGCAATTTACTAATCGTATTTTAGTTTTAAAGGAGTAAAGACTGCTATTTAGATATATACTATATTACTATTTGTGTGCCATACAATATTTCCAATTTCCATCAGAAAGAAATGTGGAGAAATATTAACTCTGAATGTCCTTCTATTCAAAGAAAAAGTACAGGAAACATATGCCATTCTACTGATGGACAGAGAGAAAACATGATCTTTAATGAAAATTTTATTTTATATATATGCCATTCAGAAAAGGTCTTCACTCTTCTCAGGGATCCCAATTTATTAAGATATAATATTAGGACATATTTTCAGCAGAAATCATTTGTTCTTCTGAGAACTAATTATGAAACTGCAAAAGTAATCAAATCCTCAAAATAGAAATGCAGAAATTTCTGTCAACTGGCTTATAATTGGACTGCATTTGTTCACTGATAAATTGCTATTAACTGATGAACTTGATTCATCATAAATGCTTCCCATCCCAACCCTAAATGTCAGATGAGAAAGGTATGTGAATGGAAATCCGCTTGCAAGATAAGACAGTGATGTAACTAAAGAACTGAATTTTTTTAGTTTCTTGGGGGCAATTAGGACAGGTATGTTAAGTCTATCAAATGCTTAATGTATCCATTTAACTTTCATTTTATACTTAAAATGTACTATTACAGTCTACCATTTTGCCACTAAAATGACAATGAGTACATAATATATATGTACTGTAATTTAGGATGAAGTCAAAAACTTAAATCTATGATGAAATAATTGATCTTCCTAAGTACCTATGAGCTTTCATCTAGGATGGAACTTCTTATGTAAATCTGTTAAATTACATACAAACTACTTAATTCTGAAAATGAAAAACAAAAGAAAGGCTACAAGGAAATAGTTGCGTTACGGAACTATATTTCCCCAAAGAGTATAAACAAGTGTTTGTCCAGTAACTAAAGAATTTTGTAAGTGGGGATTTTTTTTCTTATAAAGGGAAGCTGATTTTACACAACTCTCCACTGTGAAGGAATAAGAAACATATGAATATTAGTTAAATCTGAAAAGGCTTCCAGATTTTGTTTCCTGTCCTTTCTTCTATCCATTCTTCTGCCCTCTTCCAATCTGCACCATTTAGTGGGGAAAGAAAAAAGTGAAAACTGCTACTGTTTCCTGTTGCTCTTGTTAAGGCTTTTAAAAATGCAGTAAAGAAACAGATGCAACCAAAGGGATAATGCCCACCACTATGTCAATCTTTTGCTAAAGTCTATGGTGAAGGCTATAGCTGTAAGACACAAAAATATTATAATAAATCCCTCTAGTTTTATGCTTCTCCCCCTAACAATGAAAAGCCCTAAAACAAGTTATTAAAGCCCTCTCCAGAGTTCCTGGTTTGGACTGCGAAGTGAGGGTTCAGCTAAAAGATCCCCACAAACAAGAAACGCAGGGCAGCCTGGAGAGGAAGCCAACTGGCAGCATTCCTCCAGAAAACCAACCGGCCCAAGCCGAGGCCTAACCCGAGAAGGCAGGACAGCCACGGGCGCTGCCACAACCACCGAGGGGTGACAACTCCTGTCCCCGAGGTCGGCCTCGCTGCCCGGCTCCGAGGAATGCTGCGGCGCTCTCCCCGCGGCGCGACCCCCCTCCCGCTCCGGCTTCCCGCGCCCCTTCCCTTTCTTTCCCTTCCCTTCCTTGCCCAGGACGCCTCGCTGCCCGTTTTTTTCCTGGCCTGCCCTGCTGCCACCTCGCCCAGGACCCAGCCTGCCGTTTAACCCCTTGGCCCCCGCCTTCCTCCGGCGGAGGAGAAAAGCCTCCGAGTCCCGCGCCTCCTGCACCCCGGTGCCTTCGGCGCTCCAGCCTGGCTCAAGGGGGCCTTTTCCGTCCTCCCCCCTCCCGGCCTCCCCAGCCCGAAGGCATTCCTCGCCCGCGACCGGCAGACTGGCTCGCCCCTTCCTCCTTTCCTCTGCCCGCCCGGCTCTTGCTCTCCCTGACGCTCCTTCCCTCCGGAGACTCACCCCGGCGCTTCGGGGGCAAAAAGCCCAAACCCGCCCCTCGGCTTCGCTCCACTTCGCCCGCCAGGCCTTTCGGCGCAGCTCTCCCGCTCTCTCCGCTGAGGGGACGAACCTCGCGCCGTGTCTTCGGAAGCCCCTTCTCTCCGCCGAGCCCCACCCAGGCAGTTTCCTGCAGCGCCTTCTTCTTCCCTCCGGTTCCTTCGGGGCCCAGCTGTTACCTCCTCCCGCCTCCCTCTTACCCGGTCTCTGAGTCGCAGAGCATTGGTCGCTTTGGGAGGCATTGCTAATAGCAATTGGTGGGAGGAAATGATCGTCATGTTTATCTTTCGCTTTCTCAGGTTGTTGATTCGCCTTTAGCATCCTGTTGGCGCTGTGTTTATCTTCTAATAAAACCCCGTTCAAGGGACAAAAGGTTTCAGCTATGGTAAAATCAGATCAGATTCCTGCGGTATGGATGTATTCCCTGACAACGTATTTTCTAAAAACAAGCATAAATAATAATAAAAATAAGCGTTTCTGTTTCTATATGTTTGAATATTAGTAGTTCGGGTTGGTAGTTGGGATGTTGATTTGATCTCCGAGGTTGGCGATTTGGCTGCAAACGTTTCGTCTCCGTTTGGGGTGGGGGGATATCTTCAGTGCACATTGAATTGTGCTCGTCTGTTTCTGTTTCTAACAGGTACTACGTGGCCCATTGACCAAATCATTCTTCGAACATATCAACACGAAGATAATATACAAAATGCTGAGCGCTCAAGAAATATTGCATACCGTCCCATCTGGCAATTCCCTCTTTGAACTATAAGAATCTATAAGAGCTTTTGAAATATTAAGTCAGCGTCTCAAACTTTTTTCTCTCTCAGGATCCCTTGTAATGTTAACTGTAACTCATATAAACAAAGCTCTTTTATCAGTATTTATGGTATTAAAAAATAGAAATGATGTATTCACTGCTGCTATCTCTTCTCACAATTGTTTGAGGGGATTTTAATGTTGTATTACTTTTTAACATAAGTTAGCATATAATTTGATTTTGGAGAAGCCTGAGGAGATCTTGGAGGACCCCCACGAGTCCTAGAATCACACTTTTCTCGGGTTTATATGAATTATTTACATTTGTTCAACCTGAAACTCCAGACATATTATAGATTACTTTTAACTGTATAGAATGATACCATCATGGAGGAAAACCATAGAATAAGACATAGATCCCCTTGATGTCACAAGTAGGAATGGAGTGTGGCATATGTGAATGATACCCAGTTGTACATCTCTATCTAAACTGTGCCAGAGATGTCAAATTCTGGTTTTGGTATCTAGAAGTTGTTAAATGGGGTGAAACATATTAAAGCCGAGCCCCCAAACAGGGCAGAATTGCTGTTTGTTCATTGTAAAGTTATGTTGATCCTGGTACTGTCTCTGGAGATGGAAGCACCATTTGTGAATGGACCAATGTATATTTGGTGATTTTCCTGAATTCACAGCTATTGCTGAATGATCAGGTAAAGATTGTAACATTTATTCATACCTCTTCTCTGGGCTACTGCAATGGACTCTAAATAAGTCTATTTTTGAAGACCATTTGGCAACAATAATTGGCACAAAATTTAATACTCTACATACTCATGCCTTGGATCTACTTCTTTCCTATATTTGCTCCTTGAATATAAAATGATGATTGATTGTACAAAAACATGGAGTGCCTCAAAAGATGTGAATTATGAAAAAATATCTTTGGTGAAATGATGCAGTGCAAGAAATCATGGATAAGGAAAAAAGTATATGAGAATATGAATGTGGCAATGATCTGAGAATGAAAGAGGTTACCTCAAATGTGTAGAGAGCAAAACATAGTTGAAATGATGTAGTCAAAGAGGTATACTTCTGCCTATTTTTTATATAATTGTTAAAACAGTATATATTAAGAGAAACTTAAAAATAAGTTGAATAAAGTGGTAACAAAAATGCTTTAAAAGTGTATGTAATAAAGGGATTGGGTCAAGAATGAATCGATGTTAAATGAACACATTGAATTGAATACAAAAGCGGGTGACCTGTTTGAAAATAGCACATTGAGGTGGTTTGGTCATGAGGGTACAATGAATGAAGATCAAATTGCAAAACAGAAATATGAAAGGAAAATAAATAGATTGAATTGGATAGAGTTGGTAATATCCTCAGAAAGGGAGATGTGGGATGTAAAAAGGGAGATACTGAAAATAAAAGGCAATTTATGAATTGATGTATTGATATGTTGGAAGCAAGGATGGTTTGCAGAGATACAGAGGTACTGTTCAAAGATATACTGTAATGAATTGTGTTGTAGCTCCCCCCCTTTAATCTCCTGCCTTCAATTTCATTGGCTCATACATTCTTATTTCTGCGCTCTGCATAAAGCTACTAATTGTAAAATGGAATACTGTAATCATAGAGAGGCATGGGGCTGCCATAATTAATGGGATCCATGATTATTATAGCTTATTCTGTGAAGTCATATGACTTTCTCTTTTTGATTATTGTTTATGATGGTTCCCATGTAAAACAATGAATTTTATTAAAAATCCATGCCTTGAGTCAATAATTTCTGTTACTTTTATACCAAGGTAATGTGAGTGGTAATTTGATAGTGATTTCATATGGGTCCATGTAAAAATAATTATGTAGCCCTTAGTGCTCTCTGAGCTTTGCTGTTTGCTTGCAGATGTTTTATTACCCATCTTGGTAACATCAGCATTGCTAACAAATTGTGATGCAAAACCACCAGATCCATTCTTATTGGGTTTCGTAATTATGTTATTTTATTGTTTCATGCAGATCCTGTGTAAGAATATAAAAATGATATGAATTTAATAATATCCATTCTGATTTCATGGATCTGACATTTACTTCTTTAATAGGAGACAACTAAGGCCAGTTATCCACAACTGAATTGTAGTAACATCAGGAAATAATCTTCCTCCATCTGTCATGCTAAATTAGTTTTATTCTTCAACATACACATGGTTTTTTTTGTTATTTTTTCTTGTTGTGGTGCTAGTTGTTTGATTTTAAAAAGATCCTTTTTTGCAAGCTTCTAGAAGCCCTATCCAGATTTTCAAGTCTAAACTAGCAAAAAAAAAATAACATGGTTGTAGCAGGTTTTTAATAGTCACCCTGATACCAGGTACTTTGTAAAACAGAGCTTCAGCAATAAACTATGGGCCTTTTATCGTACAAAGCTAGAAACAATCACATGTGATCTATCAATAAATAGGAAATCTCTGCATGGCTGTGATTCATACTCAAGTTTTGTATTCATTGTGATGTTGGGTAAATTAGTGTTTATGTGTCTTTTCAAGCTACTTAGCCTGGGCTTGAAAATTAAACATGGTCAAGCTAAGCAAGTACTGTGCATGCAATGGAAAATCAGCAGGAAATGCCAAGCTGTACTGCAAGTTACACTGAGAATAAACAGGAAAGGCGATGTCAAAGCACTTCCCTCTGGTTAAGATAATTATACTGTATGTTTTCCTTAAAACCACCAGGAGCTGAATTTTAAAAAAGGGACTTTTTTGTTTTATTTAAAAACACTCAAAGGTAATCTGTTACTGCTGTGATAGTGTTAAGCCCTTTGAGAACTTGCTGCATATATCCATTTTGTCTGGAAAACCTTCATTTTCAGTTCACATTGTCAACCGCTATTACTCTTATTTGGAGTAAGGAACAAATATGATTTCCTCTACGCAAATATCATTCAGACAGCACTCGGAACCGAATTAACCAATGGCCCAGTGTACAAGCCCAATTCAGTACTTGCTGACAAAGGTAACCCCCCCCCCAAAAAAACTACATCTACCAAAATGCATCACCCTCCGTTTGTTTGAATCAGAGATACTCAGTGGGACTCATTTCCTGTTTCTATGGTATTGCAAAACCGACTTTTCCGGATTGCAAACTACTATTCCCAGAATGCATACGAAAAGGATATGGCTCTCTGATTGGTTGAAACCATATGAAGACGTTCCCGGCCTGTGGCGCGGTTCTCTTTTGGGTCGAGCTTGCTGGTCTCCGGAGGAGGCTGCACCGGCAATGGGCGGGGTTTCGGTAGCCCATCGTGTTGGGTGATGCGCTCGTTCTTCGCGGTTGGATGAGACGGATACGATCTGTAAGTACCCACAAGACGGGCTGTTACTGCTTCCCCCTTCAAAGTATAAGGTGGAAGCTGAGCTTAAGTCCCGGACTGGAGGGTTGTTGATGATAGTAGCTTTTTTTTTTTTTTTTGGAGTAGGCTGGAAAGTAGTTAAATAATCTTTGAGGATCGATTGAAGAGGAACCAACTTAAGAAGTTTGAAAAGCAGCCGAGGACCTAATACTGTAGCACAACAAATCCCCGTTTCTATTACAAGTTAACATTCTTTGTTTTTAAACCAAAACATTATAAAAAAAAATAGGAGCCATATATAAACTTCGTTGCAAAATGTTGCAAAACTAGGTTTTCTTCCCCCAAAGCTCTCATAACCTGTGATAAATGCATAAATGGGAGCATCGAAGAAATAAGAGCATGATAAATCCTTATATTTGGATTGCAATTTAATAAAACTGCTGTGGTAAAAAATCCTTATGTATCCTGTTTAGTAGTTCTTACCAAACACTCAGCCAAATTCAGGTGTCAAGAATTCAAAAAATTAATAGAGGAAATTACTAAAGAAACAGTTTTTAATTGGCTTGAAAGGAAAGGCAATAAATACTTAGAGAAATTCCTTTTATTCCCAGTTCACAAAGCAGCATAAATATGGGAATGGTGGTTAATTTTGCTGGCTTACTCACCAGAAGGCTAGTATAACAGCTGTGAGTCAGTAAAGGGGAAACTATCTTTAGATAAGTGAATTGTTATAGAATGTGAACAAGTATATTCTGGAATAGTTTTCAGTATAGCCTTATTTCTGCTGCTTTTCAAAGACATAATCACAAAGGATAACATTGAGCTACTGTGGATATTGATTCGAACATCATTTAAAAGTTGTATATTTAAATAGAACCATATTTTTAAATAAGATTCTCATTTTATATATTATTTACAATTCATACTTTTTTTGAAAAGTATTACATAACTCCTAAAGTGTAGACTCTTTAGCACCTTTTGATTACTTCTTTCTTCACAGAATATAACTTGACTGGGTCAAGTTACCAATAGCAATCACCCAAATTATGTGTTATTATTCAATCTTAGCTGCATTATTGTTTACAAAACCCAGTACAGATAACCCTCTGTACTTACAATCATTTGTTTAGTGACTATTCAAAGTTATAGTGTTCCTGAAAAAAGGGACTTACAACTTTTTCACACTTATGACTGTTGCAGCATCTCCATGGTCATGTGATCAGAATTCAGACACTTGGCAACTGCCTCATATTTATGACGGTTGCAGTGTTCTGGAGTTGTGACCTGAGAAGCAAAGTCAATGGAAAAGCCAGATTTACTTAACAACTGTGTGCTAACTTAACAACTGCATTGATTCACTTAAAACTGTGGCAAGCAAGGTTCATAAAATGGGGCAAAACTCACAACAGCTGTGTTGCTTTGCAACAGAAATTTTGGGAACAATTATGGTTGTAAGTCAAGGACAACATTGTTTAAATTCCATTATCTTTGTGGCCAATGTTCCAAGGTGTGCTAAGGCAAAAAGTTAATAGGTACGTATGCCACCATTGCATGCTGTATTTATTAAAATTCCCAAACAGTGATTATTCTGTATTGGATTCAGGTTAAACAGTAAGTCTCATTTTTTTTTTAAATGTAGTATATGATACCTTAAAATGTGGTTCTCTTTCTGTGTTGAGCTCTTTGGCTGAATGTGCTGATACCACTTTCCCACAGTTTTCAGATATTTTCTTTTTCTGGAATACCTTCTTTGCTTGGTTAGTCAAGAATACAGAAAATCCCATGCTCCAAATATAGGTACTATAAGGCAGTATTTTGTATGTTATTAGCACTTTTGTGTTCTGAAAAAAATATTCTATGAGAAGATGCCTCGTAGTCTATATATACTTAGGCCTGTAAAGGTAAAATAGGAATTGGACTATTTTGCAAATCCTCTCCTTTATTAAACTTAACAAGGGTGATAACTGTTCCTGCATCAATTATCAAATATGCATGAAATATAAATATTCAAGGATTTGAAATATACTAAGATTCTTCATCTTCCGGAAGGGCATTTTTTTCTGAAAGTAAATCAGAGTTGTGGAGTCATTAAGTTTTCTATACAGGCAATCATTTAGGCACAGGTACAGAGCCTATGACTCATCAGATGTTCTTGAAATACAACTCCCAGCATCCATCACTATTAGCCCTGCTCACGGGGCTGCTGGGAGTTGTGTTTTAGTGGGCCTCACTTCTGTTTTAAGCAAATTCAAGATGGACAGTGATTAATAGTTATATGTTACTTATATGTAAGGGTGTAGGTCTATACATATGTTGTATATAGTATGTTTAAATGTGTGTTATCTATGTGTACACTTAGAGCAAGTAACTAAATTTCATTTTTAATGTGTGCTATTGTGCTCACAGTAAAAAATGACAATAAAGGTTATCTAATATTTAATATCTAATATCTAAAGTGATGCTCATGATTTATTGTTCTTTCTGTCCCATGCTTGCAGAATAATTAACCATGAATATATCATGCGATGATAGTACAGCTAAACTAATTATGGAATAAAAAATATATAATTGATTTTGAACTTATGGTTTCAAATTCATTTATTAGTTTTTCTTTAAATTTTATTTAGCTGTAACAGTTTTGTAAGTCGAACATTAAACATATATTTTTCATCTTTTTTGTTCATTCAAAAGGATATAGGAATGGCTTCTGATTAGATTGCAAAATGTGTCCCAAAACACCATGGTACCCCACCAAAATAAGACACTTGTGAAATATACAAATTTAAGTATTTAAGTGTCTTATAGAATATTAGAGCTACACTGGGAGTGATTCTAGATCATCCCAGATTTGTTGAGAGTTGGGTGGCGCACTAGTTTAATAAATTATATTTGCTTCTAATGCAGTTGTTGACTGTGGGCTCAATGTTTTTTTTCCTTTTACTCTTAGGAAATGGTGACTATCTGCCATTTTTCTTTCTTTGATGCCTACCTCTTCTCAGTTATTTTTTGCTGCCCAAGTGCTGTACCTGTAACCTATTTGGCTTGAGATATATTGTGGTCTATATCTCCTGGGCCTTCCTGATATAAGTAGTCCAGCTATAAGAACTATAAGATATTTTGAAGGGTATCTGGTGGATTCATAGTATATCACAAGTAGATTAATATTGTGCTGGTTAGTAGAGCGCCTAAAGAGGGAAAAGGAATTATTTGAACTACTGAGACCTCTTACTTCCTTTGCCTTTTTCTGATATTTTTTGTCCATGCAAGAATCTAAAAATTAAAATTTCCAATAAATGATTTGATGATGGTTCCATCAAGCCCATGCCATCACCATATATCCTTTAGTAATAGTGTGTTTTCAGTTAATATTGCTTTCCCCTTCCTTCTTTAAGAGAAGGGCAAGTAGATGCCTCTGATGACATGGTTGTGTTTTTATGTTACACATTATAGACCTGCAATTTATTTTTCTCTGTTGCAGGGTAAACTAACAAGAGAGCTTGGGAGCCTTAATTCTGGAGTGTAGTCTGAGCAATCCCTTTGCAGAGGAAAAACTATTGCTCTGGCTTTTTCATAGTGACAGCCAATAGCAGTTGAATCTGGATAGTATTTTTAGCCCTCTCTTGTAAGTGGCTGAAGTTGATTAGGCAGCTAACGGAACCCTTACTATGCTTGCAGTCAGGCATAGTTAGATACACTTGTATTTCTAATTAGCCAAAGCAGATGTCATTTTAGATCTGCTTGGTAAACATCACTTCTAATTAGCCTGCCAACTGATGAAATAGGATAAGCCTACTCTACTGACCTTGTTATCTGTTTTAAGCATTTTACTTCCCCACTTGAAGAAGCAATTTCTAAATGAATTCCAGAAATTCTGAAATAGTTTTGAGCAACACATGAAGAATGTTAAATTAACAACAAAGCAATGCTGATATAGGCTATTAAGAGAATATAAAAGATTGTACACCCCAAGGAAAACATCCACTATTTTTACCTTTAAGTTTAAGAAAGATTCATGTTCTTTATATTACGCTAATATCCTAATATTTAGAAATGTATAGAGTTGCTTATAATATGGTCAATTGAATAGCATTAAACCCACCGTTTTTTTCTGGAAAAAGGATTTACTTTGCTGCTTCTTGAAATTGATAAATGTGTGACCGGAGTAATTGTTGTCCTTAATTATTTACCATGGTTAAGTAAGTATAGTGCAGTGTTTCTCAACCTTGACAATTTTAAGGCATGTGGACTTCAACTCCCAGAATTCCACAGCCACCATTGCTGGCTGTGGAATTCTGGGAGTTGAAGTCAACATGCCTTAAAATTGTCAAGGTTGAGAAACACTGGTATAGTGTATTCTGTACTGCAAGGATAAATATCCTGATTCGCTCAGTTTTTCTTTATCTATTTTTTTTTCCTGTAGAATAAAAAAAATACAATTAGCAGGCAACATTTTAAAAATGTCATTAAATAACATCCTTGTTGTAGGAAGGAAGTTACTGCTAACTTTATTTGCTATGTTTAAATTCTTCAGTTGTATTATTATTTTTCTTCTAATCCAAGCCAAGTGGTTCTGAATCTTGACTTCAAGATTGATGGAGAATGTACAAACAAGGCTGCTGTGAAAAACAGATCTGAGTCAAGGTGTTCTGAGTCAATGTCTTCCTTTAGACCAGTGGTTCTCAACCTTTTTAATGTCGCGACCCCCAACCGGTCGTAAGTTGAGGACTACCCAACCGGTCGTAAGTCAAGGACTTTCCCTGCCCGGGAGCGCCACGCATGCGTGGTGCCGCCCCCTGCGCCAGCCGAGGCAACTTGCAGCACCGTTTAAAGAATGGAACTTTTGGCGGGCTCAGCAGGGCAGAGACAGCCTGGACAATTCCTATTGGCTTTTGAAAGCCAATAGAATTAGACTCTATTCAAGAGAGTCTATTCTATTGGCTTTAAAAAGCCAATAGACTAAAAGGAAGTAGCACAGCTAAGGAAAAGGGGGAAAAAATGGCGGACTGCGTTGTTTGGCGACCCCCGTGAAATGGTTGTTCAACCCCAAATGGGGTCCCGACCCACAGGTTGAGAACCGCTGCTTTAGACATAATCAGGTTAATAAGAAAGTAGAATGTTTTTTGAATTGAATAGTTCTCCTATTAAAAGTGATATTTGAAAAATTATAAAGCTGGCAAAGAGTTAATGAATATTCTGTTTTCTACTTATAGGGATCGGGTAAGATCTTTTTCAAGAATTCACTATGGTCCGAGAACGAAAATGTATATTGTGTCACATCGTATACAGCTCAAAAAAGGTAAAATAAAATTTCAGCACCATTCCAAGAAACTTTCACATTATATGTTGGTTAGAAAATGTAAAGCTTACTTTTCCTGAATATTCAAGGTATCTTTTATTGATCATAACAATTATTTTTTAATTGTACAAATAATGCAGCCATACAATAAGATAGAAGTTTTTATTTTTCCAAGCCCAGGGCCACACTTGATATTTAAATCTTGTTAGTTTGGATAATGCCTGCAGCTGCCTTCCAAAAGTAGGAAGAGGCTCCTATTAATTAAGTACAGTTAATATGCTCACTCGCTGAATAATAATTAGATTACATCTTTTGTCAAGAGTAAAAATAAAGTTTGGTGGCAATTTCTTGAGTAGTTTTCGGAAGCTTTCAAAAGTTGTCTGTGCTACTGGGGCCTCCTGTTATGTATTTCTGCTCTAGAAAACTTGAAACAGACTAGTGCCTTGCTTGGCACTAAGATACAGCAAAGAAGGAAACAAATGTTTCCCTATGCAGTGTGCTTTATGTCCTGCATGTTGTTTAGAGTTTATGTGTTCCTACCAGGCATCATTCCTAACAGACATAATAAAAATAGTCAGTTTGGTCTAGTGCAGTGGTAGGCAACCTTGGCTCTTTTATGACTCGTGGACTTCAACTCCCAGAATTCCTGAGCCAGATGTGCTGGCTCAGGAATTCTGGGAGTTGAAGTCCACGAGTCATAAAAGCCAAGGTTGCCTGCCCCTGATCTAGTGGTTAAGGGCACCAGGCTAGAAAGCCAGAGACTGTGAGTTGTGACCTTGGACCAGACATACTCCCTCAGCCCTATTCACCTTACAGGGTTGTTGTTGGGTGGGGGGAAAGGAGATGAAAGTGTATTGGATATGTTTGCCAGTATGAGTTATTTGTAAAAAATAATAAAGGCAGAATACAAATAAATGTATGTAATTCAGATGACAGGAAAGCACAGGCAATTTTTTTTACTAGTTTCATTTGAGCAAATCAGTTAGGAGATGGCTATAGGTCAAGCATTATGTAATATAAATTCAGAAGAAAACTGATATTAGCAACAGCTCCAATAGTGAATAATAATATTCAGGTTTTCAACCATTCACTTGTATGTTAGAAGACCACTTGGAATCCATAGGTGGACCAACTGTGGTAGCTCAGTTAGTTATGGATTTGCAGGTGAGATTTGTTTATGTACACATAAATAGTTTCCTTCCTATTTATGGCGCCTTTCACTTTTTCAGGAGATGGATGAGCACATGAGAAGTATGCTACATCATCGGGAACTTGAAAATCTCAAGGGGAGGTATGACTATGACAATGATCCATTTCATCTTTCTTCACTTTAGTATAACAACAATTTTTTATTGTAATACCACTGCAATTAAAACGTGTTTACATTTTTAAATACTGTATGGCATAGCGTTTAAAATTCCTATAATTAACTGTGACTAAAATGGCCAGGAGATTGTGAGAAGTTGTGAGGGGGCTGAGTGAGGAGGTTGAGAAATAGGACAAATTCTAGACATAAACATCCAATAGATGAGTCAGAAATGTGTTAGCTTATCTTATAGATAGCAACTCAGACTGGGCTTAAAACTCCCTGGAAGAAGAGGCTCGAATTCAAAGAGACTCCATTTATTTATTTATTTTATTTATGGGACTTATATACCGCTTTAAGTGCAAGCACTCTCTAAGCCAGTGGTTCTCAACCTGTGGGTCGGGACCCCATTTGGGGTCAAATGACCATTTCACGGGGGTCGCCAAACCACGCTGTCCGCCATTTTTTTCCCTTTTCCCTAGCTGTCCTACTCCCTCTTATTGGTGGCCACACCCACTTGGGGGTCACCACAACATGGGGAACTGTATTATGGGGTCACGGCATTAGAAAGGTTGAAAACCACTGCTCTAAGCGGTGTACACCAGTAAGCATTGTATATATATATATTTACATTGCCCCCAACAATCTGGGTCCTCATTTTACCTACCCCGGAAGGATGGAAGGCTGAGTCAACCTTGAGCCGGTGAGATTTGAACCACTGACCTGCTGAACACAGTCAGCTAAAGTGACCTGCAGTACTGCACTCTAACTGCTGCGCCACCTCGGCTCATCCATCTTAATTAACTCATGAATAAAAGAAGGCTATAGTCTTACAGTTTCTGAGATCCTGTTTTTAGTCCACAATACTCAGTTTCTTATTGTCAAATGGCCTACTTGGAGCCTTTCAGGTGAATTAAAATTCAGCTTCTAAAATTGCTGGATAGGAATTCTGGGAACAGTAACACCTGGAATATTTCAAGTTGGAAGCAGAAACAATATAAAAAAATGAGCCTGCTGGCTATAAAATTCTAGAAGTTGAAGTCCACATATTATTATAAAGTTTTTAAGGTTGAAAAACATTGCATAAAGCCATAATGTGTTCTCTGAGCATGAACTCAACTATGTTGGTTGCAGGAGAAAGTATATCAGCTTAATATCAATTGAAACAATTGTAGCCAATTTAACCAAAGTCAGTTAATAAAACTATGTCAGTTCAGTACGGAAACTCAGCCTTCCACAATATCTTTTTAAAGTATATTCAACGATTTAGTGCCTTCTGGATATAAGCATTCTGGTGTGCATTGAGGGAGTCATACTCCCCATATAGGGGATAGTTTCAGAGATAAATAAATAAATAAATAAATAAATAAATAAATAAATAATTTTAAGTAGTCATCTAATAGTCACCTCTTCTTGAATCCAGATAAGTCATTTCTGTTCATCTTGAAACTGAATCTTACAACCAGTTGACCTTGCTCTTGGCAATAAGGATCCATCTGTTGCCTGGCTGAACAGCTGAAGAGTGAAGGCTCTGAAAACAGTGTCACCAACGTTAACTTTAGCTGTGTAACTTGAGCTAGCAAGTCCAGCTAATTTTTATTAAAATAATCATTTTAAACAACTTGTTCTTATAATTGCCAGTTTTAAATTGATTATGTACCATCAAGGTAACATCAGTTCTTAACAGTACTTTGATTGGCCAGTTTTATAGGCCATCTGTACAATCTGAACTATATGAGGAAAGGTCTTAATTTAGCTTTGTATTTGGGTTTCCCATCTTCTGTGACTGCTCTACTCTGTTTAATGTTCAGATTAGGGCAGGTATGAATGTGACACATTTATATCAGTGGGCAGAGTATATTGGGATATGCCAGCTTTTTAGAGTTTAAGGAGGAATCCCCATCTAAATCCCGAAGCAATTGGTCCTCATTAAATTATTTGAATATCTGTAATGATTAATAACAGTAACAATCCATTGTAGCACAATACATAGGAAAATTATATTAAACATGAAGAGGAATTATGTAGATTAAATTAAAATTTGTATTTGTTATTGTATTTGATAGTGTTATTTGTAAATTATAAACTGCCAATCCATTGATAAGGTTAGCAAAAATGCACCCTTTTCAACAGTTTGTACAATGTTTGCAGCTGAATATTACATGTGAAATTTGAGAAGATTTGTGTTGGTAGATTTCTAGACCACAAAATACACATTATTATTATTTCACTTGGTCTCTGTTTTGCTTAAAAATATTCGAAAGGTTGTGAGTTTAAAAATCTCAGATGCATATTTGAAATCAGTAACATTTCTGAGTTAATTGTAATTTTGGCTGGGATCCAGATGTATTTAGTGCATGGATATATCTAGTGAAACTTACTTCTTTTTTTACTATGAATTTATTTAGACAATTTACATGGGCACTCATCTTAAAATAATAATATTCCAGCCCTAACGTCTGGAGAAAAACCAGATCTTCATAGCCTTCTGGAAAGGCAAGAAGGTCAGGGCCCACTGATTCTCAGGAGGGAAGCTTATAGGGCAAGCACTAGGAAGGATGATATTGTTTAAAAGAAAGGTCCCCAACTCCAGGCTGTGGACTGGTCCGGTCTGTGGCATGTTAGGAATTGGGCCACGCAAGCGAGCAAAACCTCTTCTGTGTATGCGTGGGATCTAGGTAGTGCACAAAAAACCACCCCCCGCCCCCCAGTCCCTGGAAAAAAATGTTTTCCATGGAACCTCTCCCTGGTGTCCAAAGTGCTGGTTTAAAAGATGGGGCCATGCAGATCTCCATGCATGTCACATCTTGCTATTGAGATCCTTTCTCCCCAGCCCCATTCCCCATCTGCCCCAAATTATTAATTTGAAGATTGTGGGGAATTGCATGCAGCTCTCTAACTCCATGGGTTTACAAGACTGGGATGAACTCAAGAAAACTGAGGGTTTATTTATATAGGAATTAGAAGAATATACAGAACTCCATTTTAAAACTTTTTTTAAAAATGAAGAGGATGGTGCTTTATTTAGCAGTCAACTGATCTCTTAATTAAGCGTGTAATGTCTTGTGGGTGGGTGAAGGATTTCCCCCCCTTGGTTTGTCTTTCATACTTTCCAAATTATAGAGGTGGTAGGAGATTCCTCAGCCTGTATTTCCTTTAAGAGAAATTCTTCATAGAATAGCAAAGATGATTGTAGCCCAGGAAATGGGAGCTTGTATCACATCACTAAAGAATGTTCTGGCCAGATGGTTTTGCAGTTGTGTTTTGCCCACATAATAAATTATTGGTGACATAAAGCTTTAAAGCAAAATACAATATTCTAAGTATGCTCGTTATTCCTTTATTAAACTTTAATAAAAGCTTAGTACAATAGTTCATAATACTTAATTGTGGAATATGTAGGAATGCAATCTGTTTGGCATAGTATTGGTCTCTGGACTTCTTTTGCTTCAAAAAAGATTTATTTAAACTTGTGATTTTAATTTGGGAGTTCTGAAAATTTCATTTTTACTCTTTTCCATTTGGAAATGAAAAGGAGACTACCGAGCTCCAATTCACATTGCAGGAAGTCATCAATTTATCTCTGAAGATTGTACTCCCCTTCTGCCTAGTATCTAACATATATGAATATAAGGAATTGTGGACTAGCAGTGTCAATATGTCGATATGTAAAAGTGTTGCAGACCATAATCACAAAATGCACTAATTTTGCTATTCAGTTTCTTTTGTTATTTTTTAGAAGTAGACTTTCAGGCCTTTGATGTTATTTCATGAGTTTCTGTGACGGCTTGGCTCCACTTGCCAAATTCCTTTAAATCTTTTCCAGCATTGACCATCTAACCCAGGGGTCCCCAACCTGTGGGCCGTGGCCCACTACCAATCTGAGGCCTATTCGCAACTGGGCCACGTGGCATGGCTGGCTGGTGCGCATACGTGCATGCACACGCACAGCCCCACTCACACGAATGTTGCAGGCGCTCACAGCCCCACTGCTTGAGCATCGCGGGCACTCGCCTCGCGTGAGGGTCGCAGGCATTCGGGGCCTCAGTTGTGCAAGCGCTTGGGGCCTAACTTGCGCAAGCGCTTTGGGCCTCGCACAAGTGTCATGGGTGCTTGTGGCCTCACATGAGCGTTGCAGGTGCTCTCGGCCCCACTTGCGTGAACAAAGGATGCTCATACGTGAACATGCGCGTACACAGCACCTGCTCCTCCCACAAAACCATCCCCTTCCCCCCCCCCGTGCCACCAACCTGGAAAGATTGGGGAACTCTGATCTAACCTTTGCAGAAGAATACTGATTTTGGCATATTCATATGAGATCACAAAATCTCACAAAGTTTTGGAAAATTGCAGCCTTAAAAATAAAAGTTAAAGATTTTTTAAAATTATTTTAATAAGTTTCGTGCCCTATTTTGGCAGTGACAACTATCCTCCCTTCAAAGCCTTTTGAGGTTTTCAAGGTTGTTTCTTCCTCTGAAAGCTTCCAACTCTGGAAACTAAATATGTAGGATTTTTATTTCTTGCCACTTGTCTGACAGCTGTCTGTTCCCTCCAGCTGAAATAATTTTGTGTCTTTTAGCCTAATCCTCGCAAAGTGGAGAATGGACAACTTGCATTTTCTGAAACCAAATAAAGTACAGTGAATTGGAGACTCCCTGCAGTCTTTGAATTCCAGGCCACTGTGCCAGTTGTCCCGGATTAGATTTCACTGTGTTAAGATTGGCTGCTGAACTTTTCTCTCCCCTCCTCTGCTGAGGAAAGCTGAGACAGAGCTTAATTCTAGATTCTGACACTGGTTTCCCCAGTGTAGCTGGCACCATGGAGGTGCTTTAGAGCAGCTTCAGCTAGCTCTGCCAGCCCCCTGCTTTACCATGTTTCCTTTGACAAGATTTTGAGTACAGCAATTCAAGAAGAATCCCAGATGACCCTTTGCTTATTATCAAGTTTGTTACCTCTTGATTGTTGGAAAAAAAAAATCTGAAATTCACCAAAAAACAGCCAAGCGAATTCAAAAGAAAAAAAAAAAAACCTAGAAAGCAACAGGTTTATTTTTTTTAACTTCAGCCTAAGTTACCAGCTCTTGTGTCTCGCTGACTGAGGCTTGTTCATTCAAAGGAAACGGAATTAAGATCAGCATTGTTTGCCATGCCTGTGGGAAGAATTGAGTGCCCACCTTCTCCTTCTTTCCCCAGGGACAGCAATCATGAGTGCCAAGTGTGCAGGGTGACAGTGGTGGGCTTGTCAGCATACGCCAAGCACATCTCCAGCCAGTTGCACAAAGACAGCGTTGAAACCCACGATGCCGAGGAAGAAAAAGAAAAGACCGATGAAGAATACTTTGACAAGGAACTTATCCAATTAATACAGCAAAGAAATGAACAAAACCGGTGAGTATTTCCACTGTTCATTAATTTGCACTTTATGAAGTTCTTTATTGGTTCTTTGAACCAAAGAAAATGCTTTTGAAAGTGCAGGGGTGCCTTCTCTGCAGTCTCGAGTTGCCTGTAGCTGGGAGAATTCACAACAACTGACTAACTTGCTATTTTAAGTTTATGATTTAGAAGGGTTTGGTTTGGGAATAATGCTTTCTGAATTCACAATTAAACCTGACTACTATTGATAATAGCTTTCTCTGCATGAAATAGCTGTGGATTTATTTTTGCCACTTATATTCAAACGTACCTAATATGGGTATTAAGATTCTTCTATAAATATACTGTCCAGTCATGCATTACATGCCTGTTGCACTTTACAAACTTTTGCCCAGGTCACAGTAACTAATTCTACTACATTTATAACATATTTTTAATTATATCATACAAAATAAATTGAAACTAGGTTATGCTTTTGGCTTAAAGGTAGAGAGTTCACCCTTAGTTTTTATGTATACGCAAAACCTGGAACTACAAAACTGGACAGTTTATAGAATTTTTTAATAATATTTTTAGGATTTGCTGTAAAAGAATGTATCGCATTTCAATCTTTGGAAGAGAAGAGCAGTGCAACTCATTCAGAGTGATATTTCAGTGGCAGCAAGCCAGTGAGTAAAACACTGCTTCACAAAAGATTGAGGCAGATACATATTCCCCTGAGTCTGAGCAGCTGCTTTGCAGGCTTTCCTAGAGTGTACACACATGAAAGTACAGGCACTCAATTCCACTGTGACTGGTATTTAAGCAAAGCCGAGGAAGGCTCTCAAAATTGCTGTGTCAAACCTTCAGGACAAGGTGACTGTTTTCAGCACTTTACTGTTGACAGTACCATAAAACATCCTTTTGGACAATTTGCAAAAATTGATCCATGGCTTTCATTTCACTGCTTTTAGTAATGTGCAGTTTAAAGACCATGTATTTGCTTTGGTTAAGTTGCTGATGTATAGTCCTCTGTAAGATAGAAAGAATTTTGCTTGTGTGGTCACCAATTCTGTCCATCCTCTCCTACATCAAAGTGTGACACTTCCTTCTTTCCTTCCTTCCTTTGGTTGGAGAGAGAAGGAGTCAATGAAACTGAAGAAATCAGTTGTGTATCTGACTAAGTCAGGGGTAGGCAACCTCAGCTCTTTTATAACTCGTGGACTTCAACTCCCAGAATTTCTGAGCCAGCCTCGCTGAGGGAAAAGGGAGAGGTTTCCAAGCTGGGCCATGCTGGCTTAGGAATTCTGGGAGTTGAAGTCCATGAATCATAAAAGAGCCAAGGTTGCCTACCCCTGGACTAAGTGAATTTCAGTATTGGTGTCTTCCACTTATACAGTAGTTTATTAAAGAGCTTTAAATGTTTCCCCTGTCCAGTTGTGACCAACTCAAAAGAGCTATCAATATTATTCATTTATTTATTTACATTATTTATGTAGCCACCTTTGAAATTGCCTTGGGGAGAAGCTCTGCACCTCTAATAAGATCTGACAGGGTCCCACCTTTTAAATAATGCTATCTTAGAACCCAGGTAGTGTGCTATGCTTGTCCCCCAGAGACATGGATAATGCTGATTCTGCCTGCTTTCCCCCCCAGGCTTTGGGTCAGGAGGATTTGGGCTCCTGCCAGTTGTGATTGTCTGTCTCTTGAATAACCTTGGTGGACTTTTTTGAATGTGTTATATTTTATTTTAGCATTCACAGTAATAAAACTAGCTGGATTCAGTTAAAGATGTCAGCATTATCCTAGTAGAATTAAATATAGGAAATGAGAAAAGAATTAACTTAACATTATATTACTGGGCTACATTTTTTTAACCTTTGATCTAGTGATCTCCTTGAAATCTTGATGATCCACAGTCAATTGACTCCTATTTATGGAATTGCTAAAGAGTCTTCTCAAAGTTAAAAAAGGATATGGAACTTAAAACCTTCAGCATGCCCAGGAACAGAAGTTGTGAGGTGCTATAGTGTGAAATTTTCTTTCTCTTACATCTCCAGTAGTCTATAGAGAAAGGGAAAGAATCATGTTGATTTTAAAAACAATATAATGTTTTTCTGACATTCTACTTCTTTTTCAAGGAGGTACTGTATTGCCGATGGAAAGAGAACATTTCCCTTTGACAGTTATATGATAAACCTACTGAGTGTTTTCTTTCTCAAAGAACTCCTGTTCTATGACAACCTGTATCTATGCAACACCCATTGCAGCAGTTGTAATCTAGTGAAAATTATGACTATGTAATACTGTTCTAGGTTAGAACTAAGTTGGCTTCATTTGGAGTTATTTCAGATCTAAGTACTTTTGTGTAGTTCTTTAAATAGTTATTGTGTACTTCCAGAATTGTTTTCAGTTAACCAATGTGTTAGAAGTGGGCAATAGAGGAAGTATCTCCTTAAAGATTCACAATATCTCTTTTTCCAAGTTGTTTTCCTGAGTTTTTCACTAAGAAAATAGTTCCATACTATATTATTTGGTATGTTGGGGTAAAAAAATAATAGTAGCAAAAGGGTGATGTATATATGGAGTATTGCTTTAAGTGTTTGTCCCACTTGAAAGTGAAAGGTAATTTCAAGTTGATTTTCATTTGAACTTTGATCTCTACTTTCTTAGAAGAAATCGTTATTTGACATTGTTGATTAAAGAAACTAACAAAAATGTAGAATTGGATGTAAGCCAGGATTTTACAGTTTTAACAATTTTTTGTTATTTTGATTATTAAATCATTAGATGTAAATATTTGTGTCCTTGATCATTAAATGAAAATGTTTATGTCTTTGTAGGACAAGTGAATTGTGTCACGTAAACTGTGAAGCAGACGGTGATGACAGGAGATTGCGAAGGCAACAAAATGACAGACTCTCTTATCAAGACCGAGATCGTTATGATACAACATCAAGGAGGCATCATGGACCATCACAGAGGGACTGGAACTGGGAAAAGGATAATTTCTTAAATTCCATGCAAGGAAAATTCACTCACTCTGCCAGGAATTCTACTAATTCAAACAGACATCTCAGCAGCCAAAGAGGACGACTTGGGTGGCATCAAAATGGTTCCCGAGGACCTCCAAGTCAATACCATAACTATGGAAATATTGGCAGTATTTGGCATCAGAATAACAGAGGTGGAACATCAGGTTGGCCTCATCATGATAGAGGAAGAAATTCCAGTTGGAGTTCTGAAGCAAATAATATATTTTCCAACTGGCAGTTCAAAACTGTAAGGGGGCACCGGAAATCTGTTCAACAAAATGGAAATGGATGGAACATTGGACGAAACAGAGCTGTAAACAATACTTCTCAGGTAGACAACGTGGATACTTCCTGGTTAAAAATAAATAGTATACAGGATAAATACAGCAGTGAAAATTATACATGGCAATGGCAGGAGGATGCGGCAAATTATACCGGTCTTGATAATAAAAATGGCAATCCTGACTGCTTATTAGATTTCACGAGTGATCAGCTATCTTCAGATCAGTTACTAAATTTTAGTGTTTCTAAGCATCCAGAGAGTAAGAATTCCAAAGTCAGTAGAAAGTGCAGTAGTCCTTCTCGAGAAAAGATGAACCGGTGGGCTCCTTATCCTTTCCAGAAAACTGTAGAGCAGCAGCCACTGTCTGAAGAGATGGTAGCTAAAACATCAGAGAAAACATTGTCTCAGTTGTCTTCAGAATCAGCAGATCCTAAAGCCAACAACCCTAAAGTGAAAAAATGGGAAGAGAGTTATTCAAGATCTTCAACTAACAGTAAAACATCCCTGAAAGCGGCACCAGGCAAAGCGCCAGCGGCCTGCACAGGTGAGAACAAATCAAGTAAAGCTGAAAGCAAAAGTAACAAGATGCCCTCCTTGAAGTCCCCACTTCTAGCTATTCCAGATATTAAATCCTCTTCCAAAAAAAAAAAATCAAAGAATCTCTTGAAACGTGCCCATGTCTCCTCATCTTCTGGGGAAGGCCAAAGTCAGCTGAGTACAGAGGCTAGCAATTCCTCGAATAATTCCAAGCTGAACAATAAAGCATGTAACTATAACAGTTTAAAAGGGAGCACACTTCTATTGAGCAGCAATGAAAGCCTAAACAAAGCGTTAGAAAAGGCCAAAGATGAACTCCAGCATAATCGTTCTTTTCAGAAGTCGCATTCAAGTTCTAGCAGAGATGCTCAGATTGATAGGAAAGAAGAATGGAAAACTGAAGATTCTTCACACGATTTGAAGATACATGAAGTCCAGATGAAAGGAATAGAGAACAATTACAAAGGTAATAAACCAGGAAACATGAATACTTCCCCAAATTCTTATTCACCTTGTGGCCTTGCTGAACCTGATCACATTGCAGCTAAAAATGATAACTGTTTAAATGAATTGAATGGTGCTAATAAAAAACACATTGAACTCCGAAAGGAGACCCTAGACTCTTTGTCAAACTATCCCTGTGAGTTAGATATTGAGTTGAAAACAACTCTGGAAGAAGATGGGGATGAAGATGTTACAAAATCAAATGATGCTCCCGAAAAAGAAGATGATGGAGATAATTCAAATCACGAGCTGCTCAAAGCTACTATAGGGCACTCTACAGGTCCTCTTCTTCCCGAACTGAGTAAACTTGGGTTCCCAGCTTTTCTCCAAAGAGACCTGACATGGCGCACTAGCTTAAAAAATAAAATTAGCTCTCATTTGCCTGAGCCAAATCTCAATAACGCAAGACGCATTCGAAATGTGAGTGGTCACCGGAAGAATGAGACAGAAAAAGAATCTGGACTGAAACCTACTTTGAGGCAAATTATCAGTGTGTCTCGTAGAAATGTAAACTGGGAACAGGTTATTCAGCAGGTGACAAAGAAAAAACAAGAACAAGGCAAAGGTTTACCAAGGTTTGTAATCTTACCAAGAACATTCTTACTTTACAGCATGTCTGAATTGTGTGTGGATGTGTGGGGTCTCAGTATGGTTCATATATAGCCCTAGAAAGGGTTGTTTGCTTTTCCCCTTTAAAAAACCTCTCTCAAAATGGGCCCTAGCACTGCCCACTTTTGGAGGACAGCCTTCAATGACCCTTACAAAGCTCTTGAGAAAATGGAAGTTGTACTAATCTATGTTATCCTAAAGGTGTTTTTCAAAGGCAACTGGACTTCCTTTGTTTTTTCCTTAAAAACATTGTGCTTCTCATCTAAGAAGCTTCTTCAGTCCGGGCTGAATGATGGAGAATGGCAGAGTATATATTCCTTAGCAGTCATCTGGCTGTTAGCTCCTTGAGAGTCATTGAGGCCACTTGGGGGTTTATGTGTACCCTTAGGGTCACCTGAATCAGAGTGCAAATGGGTTTGGGACTACCGAAGGGACTGTGTTGTAGACAAGGGACAGATGGCATCATATCCTTCCCCCTCTGTTAACAATTTTAATGTTGATGGCCTCTTTGACCCTTCCTCTCAGACCAGTGGTCCTCATATATATAATGTAATATAAATAGAATATAAACCCTTCCATTCCCCACCATTTACCCAGAACTGAAGAAGCTTCTTGGATGAGAAGCAATATATTTTCAAGGAAAAAAACTAAGAAAATCCAGTTTCCTTTTGAAAAGCATCTTTGGGACAACCATGACCTAGATGATTGAGAATCTTCATAGACATACTCTATTTTATGGCTTCCGATGATGTCTATGCATCTGGCCAATATTTTGCTCATCTAAGAGTGGCTAAAAATATTGACTTGGCTTTAGGTAAGTCCAGGTAACTGTGTGTAAAAGATAAAATAATTCAACTCCATAGTTAGAGAAATCTGGTAATGTTGCTGAAGTATTTATAGATAAAATTTAAATTAAAGATGTCTTCAAATCCAGCTGTATTCCCTATGAAACTTCATGAACACATCCATGTAATTTTCTGAACATTGCCACTGACTTCTTCTAAAATGCCTCTCTAATTCCACCGTCTAGCCTTACAATCAGGAATTTCTCACGCTTATCTCTCCTTAGCTTTTGATATTAGACTAATTAGAAGAGAAGTGGTTGTGTCTTTTTTAAAAAAGTTTCACTCATACATGTTTCATGGTTGTGTTTTAAGGTTTGGCATTGAGATGGTTCCACTCATCCAGAATGAACAAGAAGGCCTTGAGTTGGATGAAGAAGTTGACTTCACCAATCTTGAAGGATTCCAGTGGGAAGGGATATCTATAGGTTCCCCAGGAACAGTTAGGAAACGTAGCCTCTCAGAAAGTAGCGTGGCGGTCGATAAGACAGCCTCCATTTACAGTTTCTTTAATAATCAAGGCACAAGTAAAGAAGACAAGCAGAAAAATGCTGGTTCAGTTGCCAACTCTGAGGATATAACAAGTGGAATTCAGACATTAGAAGATTCTGTGGTTACTGTGAAACAGGAGTCATCTTCTCTTCCTTCCTCCCCATTCAAGACTGACAGGACTGATTTAATTTCAAGTGAAAGGAAACTCAGCCTCCAGTCTACCCCAAATGTCACTATCTTTAGTACCAGCGAAGGCCAGAGAAGCCTTGACTGTACCATTCATCTATCTGAAAACAAAGGAATATTGGAGAATGCAGAAGAACATTCCACCCAGGTTTTAGGCCTTGCAGACATCAATGCTCTAGATGCAGCTACTGATAGCAGCTATACATCAAGCAATGAGCAGAATGATAGCCAGGTGATGGGGAAGAAAAGAAGAGCAACAGGAGTAAGTCCTCTGTATGCTACTAGAAGTGATTTTATTTTATTTGCAGCCGTTGAATTCATGAACCAGTTTGTGAAAAACATCCAAAAGCGTAACAGTACTTTGGTAAAAGAATCATTTAATGTAGAATCCCACCTAGGCTGGTTTATTTAAAGAGATTCTGTCTAGTCATGGCAGTTACTTTAATCTAAAACCGTGTTTGCCAACCTCATAAAAGCATTCAGTTTTACCTTCCCTAATTCCCCAGTAAGCACAGTCAATTACCATGTTGAATGAGAGACTATAGGAGTTGAAATCCAAGTTGTAGAAGCTGGGGTATACTGGATATTTATCCTTTTGCTATGTGTGTTCTTATTTAGGTTGTAAAAATATTGTACTGGCTTTTATCACTTTCAAACTAGTATTTGTTTTTCTTAAGTTTTTGCTAGGTAGGGTATTAGTAATGAAAAATCAATGCAGAGTCTTGGCTACATCTGTTTCATTAGATATGGATTGCCTGTGGATCAAACTGAGGTCATAAAAAAAAGTATGCCTCAATAATTTAATGGTAGTTTAATGGTTTGAGTATTTCACTTGAAATAATTCTCACTGAAAAAAATTGCTACTAGTTCTGAACATTATGTGCAGTGTTGGCTTAGCTGACTAGAAACGTTAATTTTTTAATTTCTAGGAGGGTTCTTGTCCTGAAATCCCAAGTTTAGAAAGAAAGACTAAACGAAGGAAGATCAAAGGAAAAAAAGGTGGGTGATTGAAGTCAGCTAACATCTTATTATTGCCTTCAATTTATATTTTAGGAGTTTTGTGTACAGTAATAATTGTATTTAATAATAATAATAATAATAATAATAATAGGCAGAACCTCCAATTTCAATCCAATCAGAAACGTTTCTACCAATCCATCAATGGAGAAACTGCAAGGAATCAGTCAGTACCTGACAAGGAAGAAACAGTGCAGTTCTGGAAGCAGATATGGGATAACCCAAAGAAATACAACAAGGATGCGGCTTGGTTAAAAGAGGTGGATGCAAATAAAACAGAAGTTGAAATGAAAGAACTAGTAATAACAACAAAAATGGTAGAAAAAAGAGCAAAGAAAATCAAAAATTGGTCAGCACCAGGTGAAGATGAACTGCATGGGTTTTGGTTGAAACATCTAACTGTTATACACCCACTCATTGCCAAGCAGTTCAACAATATACTACAAGGAGGAGAAATTGAAAAGTGGCTAACAACTGGGAAAACCTACCTAATAATGAAAAATCCAGCAAAAGGGGCAACACCAGGTAACTACAGGCCAATTACCTGCTTACCAACAACATTCAAATTACTAACTGGTGTGGTAGCTGATGCAGTACAACAGCATCTAGTTGAAAACAATCTCTTTCCACCTGAGCAGAAAGGAAACCGCCCCAATAGCAGAGGAACAAAAGATCAACTCCTAATAGACAAAATGATCTTGGAAAACTGCAAGAGAAGGAAGACCAACCTGAATGTAGCATGGATTGACTACAAAAAGGCATTTGACTCTCTGCCACATGATTGGATAATCAAGTGCCTAGAAATAACAGGAGTAAGCAGAAACATCAGAAAATTTGTGCAAAAATCGATGGCACAATGGAAGACACAGTTGCAGATCAATGGTGAAAAGCTGGGAGAGGTTAATATCAAGAGAGGAATATTTCAAGGAGATTCATTATCACCATTACTATTTGTTATTGCACTGTTTCCTCTGTCAACAATACTGAATAACTCAGGACATGGTTATCAAACATCAAAAACATCTGCTAGACTATCCCACCTCCTTTACATGGATGATCTGAAGCTGTATGGAAAAACATCATCTGAAATAGAATCGCTGCTCAACACTGTCCGTATATATAGCCAAGATATTGTAATGGAGTTTGGCTTGGACAAATGTGCCACACTTACTATCAAACAAGGAAAAATAGTGAAAACTGAAGGAATCAAGATGCCCCACGAAAATAACATTAAGAGTCTGGATGAGGAAGATACTACAAATACTTGGGTATCCTTCAAGCTGACAACATCAAGCACACTGAAGTCAAGAAAAAGATTAGAGGTGAATACATCAAGAGAGTGAAGAAGATCTTAAAATCCAAACTCAATGGAGGAAATACCATAAAGGCAATCAACACCTGGGCAATCCCAGTCATTAGGTACACAGCTGGAATAGTGGACTGGACTCAAGCAGAACTAAAAGCAATGGATAGGCAGACCAGAAAAATAATGACAATGAATCACGCCCTTCATCCACGCAGTGACATTGATAGACTTTATCTACCAAGGCAAATAGGTGGGCGTGGAATGCTACAAGTACATCAGATGGTTGAAGAAGAAAAAATGGCTTTGGAAGAATATCTGAAGAAGAATGATGAAGATGCACTGAAATTAGTATATCAGGAAGGCTTACTAACTACTGGAGAGACCAAACTGGCCTACAAGAAAGACCAAATGAAGAACAGAATAGAGGCATGGGAAGACAAAGCACTACATGGCCAATACATGAAAAAAATAGCTGGGAAAGCAGATAATATAAAACCTGGCAATGGCTAAGAGCAGGAAAATTGAAGAAAGAGACCGAGGGACTAATTCTGGCTGCACAAGACCAAGCCTTAAGGACAAATGCATACAAAGTCAAAATTGAGAAGACAGCAACAGACAGTAAGTGCCGCCTATGCAAAGAAGCTGAAGAAACAGTGGACCACTTGGTAAGCTGTTGCAAGAAGATTGCACAGACTGATTACAAGCAGCGGCATGACAAAGTAGCAACAATGGTGCATTGGAAGATCTGCAAAAAATATCATTTGCCTGTAAGCAAAAACTGGTGGGATCATAAAATAGAGAAAGTCATAGAAAATGATAAAATTAAACTGCTCTGGGACTTCAGAATTCAAACAGACAAGCACCTGCAACATAACACCCCAGACTTAACAATTGTCGATAAGAAAGACAAAAAAGTCTGGATAGTGGACGTGGCAGTGCCTGGAGATAGCAGAATAGAAGAGAAAGAACTGGAGAAGATAACAAAATACAAAGACCTACAAATAGAAATAGAAAGACTGTGGCAAAAGCAAGCAAGGGTAGTACCAATAGTCATAGGCTCCTTGGGTGCAATCCCAAAACAACTGGAGCACCACTTGAACACCATTGGCATTGACAAATTCGCTATTAGTCAATTGCAAAAGGCGGCCTTATTAGGAACTGCTTCCATCCTGCGACGATACCTGTAATACCATCAAACATCCACATCTGCCTATCCCAGGTCCTGGGTAAGGACTCGATAGGTAGACAAAATGCCAAATCCAGTCTGAACATCTGGCTGACTGTGCGATGAATGATAATAATAATAATAATAATAATAATAATGTTGGAAGGGACCTTGGAGATCATCGAGTCCAACCCCCTGCTAGGCAGAAAACCCTACACCATTTCGGACAGATGGTTGTCCAGTCTCTTCTTAAAAACTTCCAATGTTGGAGCATTCACCACTTCTGGAGGCAGGTTGTTCCACTAGTTAATTGTTCTAACTGTCAGGAAGTTTCTCCTTAGTTCTAGGTTGCTTCTCTCCTTGATTAGTTTCCACCCGTTGCTTCTTGTCCTGCCCTCAGGCACTTTGGAGAATAGCTTAACTCCCTCTTCTTTGTGGCAGCCCCTGAGATATTGGAACACTGCTATCATGTCCCCACTCGTCCTTCTCTTTGTTAAACTCGACATACCCAATTCCAGCAACCGTTCCTCATATGTTTTAGCCTCCAGTCCCCTAATCATCTTTGTTGCTCTTCTCTGTACTCTTTCTAGGGTCTCAGCGTCTTTTTTTACATTGTGGTGACCAAAACTGGATGCAGTATTCCAAGTGTGGCCTTAACAAGGCATTGTAAGGTGGTATTACCACTTCACGTGATCTTGATTCTATCCCTCTGTTAATGCAGCCTAGCACTGTGTTGGCATTTTTGGCAGGTGTAGCACACTGCTGGCTCATATTTAAGTGCCTGTGGTGACCAAAGTTTAGTTATCTCCATAATCCTCCATGTTTTTCGTAATCTAATACACATACTTGCTCTGCAGAATGCATAAGAAAAAGGTGTTCCCAAGACAGATAAAATAAAGTTAATCCTTAAGTGTCAGGCTCCTCAAATACAATATGATTTATACATAGTTTAAATGGTGCTCGAACAGCTGACATAGACATTCGGTTTCTAAATGTCTCCCAAATGTCATGTGCCTCCATTATGTTTTACAACATTTTTCTTTTGCAGAGCGTTCTCAGGTGGATCAGTTGCTGATTATTTCCCTGCAAGAGGAAGAATTAAGCAAATCATTACAGTGCGTAGATGAAAGCCTCCTGCAGGCTCGAGCTGCTCTGCAAGCAGCTTATATTGAAGTCCAACGTTTACTTGTACTGAAACAGCAGGTATTTCATAAGTTGGAGTCTATTTGCTCTGATTCCCACAATTTCAGAAGGATGTTACTGTGTTTCTCCGAAAATAAGACCTGGTCTTTTTTTTTTGCCTCCAAAAGAGGCACCAGGTCTTATTTTAGGGTGTGTGTATGTGTGTGTGTGTGTGTGTCTTTTCACTTACCTCCAGCACTGACAGCCCTGCCCAGCCGGCCCACTTCTGGGACTGAAGGAGCAGCTTTATTCTGCAGCTGAGAATGGAGCTTGGCCTGCATTTCGCAGTCAAAAGCCTTTCTGGAAGGCCATCGCAGCCGAGAACCGAACTATGGATTGAATCCATAGCTTGGTTTTCGGCTGCAGTGGCCTTCCGGAAAGACCTCTGACTGAAATGCAGGTCTGCGGATGCCGCAGAAAAAGTGGGTTGGCGAGGAGAGGCCTGGCTGCAAGGTAAGTGGGTGCGGGGCACGTGGGGCAGCTCCACACTCCCACTTCTGCCCTAGCTTGATTTTTAGGTGTGTGCCTCACCCCAAAACTAGGGCTCATTTTGGGGATAGGGCTTACTTTCAGGGAAACCAGGTATTTGTTGGTCCTTATTTAAATCTCTTTTATTTTCTAGGTATCAGTAGAAATGGGATCTCTGAGGACACAGAGGATTCAGATCCTGCAGGGGTTACAAGGTAACTTTGCTGACTTGGAGCTATGTTCCATCTGGATCTTGGCTTTTGATCTGGTATATGCAACACAAAACAGTGAGATGTTCTCAGATTCCCGTTTCCTAAGTACATTCCACAGCTTGATAGGGTTACCGCAATCAAAATATTTTCTGTAGTCAGTATACTTACTTATTTGGGGAATTCTTTGGCTTTCCCAATTACTCAGATTTCTAAATCCAGCTTCTGGCATCTTCATTTCTAATCTATGTTGGGCAATCCCAAGCATTATTTTGCCAGGATATGAAATTAAGAATATGTGCTATGGATTGCACACATTGTTATGTCTTCTTTCTTTGGCATTTTTATATAGACTTTTAAAAAAAATATTTTGGCCATTTTGTTGTTCTCTTGATTTATTGATATAGTTTAGTTAGAACTTTTATAGACTCTCTATCTTTGACTTGCCAGATTTCTGTAGATGTTCCATCAATTCTAATAGCTTAACAACTATAGTGCTGATGTAATTTCATCTTCTATTGGGGGTTTTGTCAATAGGAAATACCTTCTGTGGCATCTTGGTTGTTGACATCTCTTGTGGTACAGAAGTTCATTTCTTCCATTTTTCAGAACAGTACAGAATTTTTTTTTCAGAGCAGAATTTCATTTCTTCCATTTTTAGCTTATTCAAATCAGCATAATTGATATTAGTATAGCCCAGGGGTAGGCAACCTTGGCTCTTTTATGACTTGTGGACGTCAACTCCCAGAATTCCTGAGCCAGCAGCATGGCTCAGCATGAAGTCCACAAGTCATAAAAGAGCCAAGATTGCCTACTCCTGATATAGCCATTCTCAGCATGCCATTTCACGTTTGGAACATTTTCTGCGTTCAGAGATTTTTTGAAGACTCTTCTTCTTTTTCTGTGTCTATTTCTATCTATAATGTCTTTACAGATGTTCCAATATTGCTTCTGGTCTCATCTGACACTTCTCTGAAATGCTTTGCTATTTCTTGGTATACGTAATATAATTAGCAGCCAGGTTTTACCCAGAAAGCTGTTCAATATCAGGAGACAGGATAGGCTTTTGGACTTCATTCAGTAATGTGATCGTCAAATTGCATTACATAGGTAATCCTCGACTTACAACAGTTTGCTTAGTGAATGTTTGAAGTTACAACAGCGCTGAAAAAAGTGACTTATGACCATTTTGCAGCATCCCCATCATCACGTGATTTACATTCGGATGCTTGAGAACTGACTCATATTTATGATGGCTGCAGTGTGCTGGTGTCGCATGACCCCCTTTTGCGAACTTCTGACCAACAAAGTCAATGGGGAAGCCAGATTCACTCAACAACCGGGTTACTAATTTCACAACTGCAGTGATTCAAGAAAAGTCATAAAGTGGGGCAAAACTCGCTTAACAAATTTTTCACTTAGCAACATAAATTTGGGGCTCAGTTGTCATAAGTTGAGGACTACCTGTACTGAGGATTTTTCATCTGCTATCGAGGTATATGGTTTAATTCAGGGGTCTTCAAACTTGGCTCTTTTATGACTTGTGGACTTCAACTCCCAGAATTCCTCAGCCAGCGTGCCTGGCTGAGGAATTCTGGGAGTTGAAGTCCACAAGTCATATAAGGGCCAAGTTTGAAGTCCCTCTGATTTAATTGAAATAGGAAGCCATGCTGCTTCATTAGCACATAGTGGAAGGTCTGAAGACTTCCCAAATTCTTTAAGGTTTTTGCTTCTTTTCATTGCAGTTTTGGAGGTCACACGAAAATCTGCCCAGGGACCATCCACTTTTATCCACATAACTAGTTCCCATCAATACTCTTCTCTGGTCAGTAATACTGACTGAGATGCCTCATAGTTTAGAAAGATTCCATCCCTATTATTAATGTGGTTGCATTTTCTGATTGGAAACAAAACCTATAAATGTTTTAAACAAATAAGCATTTGCTGAACATAATGTGAACCTCAATTGCTCTGCTCCTGTATGCTCTTGCGCTAATAGTCATTGTGTACTTTGAGGGGTTTTTTTATTAATGAGCATTTTCAACCAATCTTTTCTGTACAGGACCCAGAAACATCTTTGCCTGATGCTTTGATTTTCAGTATCTCATTTTTTTTGTTAATTAAAAAAATGGGAAAAATATTGAACAAGAAATGACATTGACAATGACAATATATTTAAAGGG